GATAACCTAATAATAGCTCTGCTGGTGGCCCGGACCCCTGAGGGTTCCTAGGGCTCGCTAAGCCGTAGCGGTCATAGCGGGCTGTAGCCACTGACCCACAGTGGCTGCAGCCGCTATTGGCTAGTGATTGTTATCGCTAAGAGATAGCGATCTCAACCGCTATTGGCTAGCGTTAGCAGGGGTTCTTAGCGATTGTGGCCAGTGGCCGCAATCGCTAGAAGCTAGTGGTTACGATCGCTAGCAGCTAGTGACTGCGATCGCTAACAGCTAGTGGCTGGGATCGCTAGCAGCTAGTGGTTATGATCGCTAAAGGCTAGCGGTTATGACCACTAACTTATAGTGGCTATAGGCTCCTAAAATCAACACCTTTAGGTTATATAAGCTTTCTTTAATCTCTTAATATAGTAATTAATAAGCTATTTAAAGATTAGTTAGCTAAGGAGGCTTTTAACTATATTAAAAAGTATAACTCAGATAGAATAAAGAAGTAGTTAGTTTAAGATAAATATATTATAGCTACCTATATTATTATAGCAGCTACTAAGAGACTATCTGAAAGACCTGATCTTATTATTAATATTTTCTATTAATATAGTATTAGTATTAGATCTAATAGAAGTAAAGATTATAAGATCCGTATTAAAGATATATTAGCTGAAGCTATTAACTTTAATAACTAGGAAAAGACTGAAGAAGTTATCCTTAATACCTTTGAGATTATTAACTGGATATATAATAAAGAGGAGATTAGTATTACTAATAATAATCTTATAATAGCTCTTAAAACCCTATAAATTATAGAACTAAAAGACCTACTTAGATTATATAGGCTATAGCTATTAGGAAATAAGAAGGATCTTCTTTAATACCTTAAAAATTATATCCTAGCTACAGCCGGGCTCTTATAATAACCTCAATTATTAGATAATTTATAGTTATTTTATTAATATAAGGAGGTATAGTCAGCCTGTTCAATTTAGCAGGGGATAACGTATAGATCCGAGCAAGGGTTCCCGTGGGGCTTATCTTGCCCGAATTTTGCGAATTTATACGGTACACAGGTTTAGGAGCATGCTTTAAAAAGGGATCACGAACTAAACATATTACAAGGGTAGATTTGAGTACCTATCAACTCTTGTCACTAACTAGCAAACCCAATCCAGTTTATCTATAATAGTTTATACTGAGCTTGGTCCTAGACGTGACTTCATCAGCAATACTGGCATTTATTCTAATTTTGGTGGCTCAAAATTGTGTCAATTAGAGCATATAATCATCTTCTAATGAGCATTGTCCGGATTATCATGGGGCCTGGCCTAGAGGCCTGGTCTGTTGTCAGCCTTATGCGAACTCCCCGGTCTTATCTCAGCTTCAACTTCGCTTGTCCTCGAAGGTCTCGAGAACTGAATCCGACGTTGAACGTAAAAACACCTTCCGGAACCACCCATGCTTGATCATCAGAGTCCCAATAGCTCACATCGCGCCTCTTTAATCGAAAGCTGACCTCAGCTGTCTCTCCAGCAACTAGATAGACCCTTTCGAACCCACGTAGCACCCGTATCGGTGTCCCTCGAGGTGTATTAGAAGGGAAGGAAACATACAGCTGTGGCACTGTATGCCCAGCAACCTTCCCGACGTTTGATACACGAGCCGTGACAAAAGCAACATCTTCCCAAAGCTCCGGATGGCCGCCGACTTCCACTTTCACGTCCGGGTTGGGCTTGGCGCTCAACGAATTGTTACTTAGCGAACTTGCCTCTACCTTGCCTCCGTTGCCAAGTTCGAAGGCGGTGTAGCTCAAGCCGAAACCGAACTCGTAGCGCGGTGTGATATTCATGGCATCGTAGTGCCTGTAGTCGATAAGCTGACCTTCGCTAAAGTCGGCCTGCCAGGCGCCCTGGTCCTTGACCGGCTGGGTCAAATTAACTATCGGGGGACCAGAATCCTCGCCCTTGAAAGGAATTGTGTAGGGAAGCCTTCCAGAGGGATTCACATCGCCCCAGAGGATGTCCGCGATTGAGTTTCCTGATTGCTCGCCTGGATAGTGAGCAACCAATATGGCTCCGATTTTGGGCTCGTCCGCCCACGGGAGAGTAACGACCCCTCCAGAGTGAGTGACAACGACGGTATTTCCGCACAGTTTAGCAACATTTCTAATTGCAGCTGTCGAGTTGTTATCCAGCTCCCATGACGTTCTATCGCTACCTTCGCTGGCAAATGTCTTTTGGAAGACAAGGCATAGATCCGGCAGAGGATAGATAGACTTGAAGTTACCAGCAGCCAGTAATTCGTTCGTAGCAATGTACTGAACCTCGGCGCCGATTTCTTTGGCTTTGGTTCTGATGGCCTCGAGTGGTGTGACGATGGATGTTGCCCGTCCGGTGCCTGAGCCGCCTCCGATGAAGGCGTTGCCAATGTTGGACCCCGAAGTACTTTTATCGAGGTCTTGCACAACGAGACCGTTCGCTGGTTCAACAGCATCGTTTCCAAATACGCCGATTACCTTTGGTGATTTGAGAGGGAGAGTCTGGTTCGTGTTCTTCAGAAGAACGGTACCAGCTGCCGCCACCTCTCTCACGACGGCAGCATGGTTTCCGCGGACATCGCGGCCCCTTGGAAATTGACCTGGCTGTGGGAGTATTCCAGAATCGATAAGACTCAAGAGCCCTACGTCATTCGCTAATAACAAGAGACTACTAGATGGGTCAGGAGATGGGTAGTCTGGCGAGTCTTGCTTCAGGAGAAAGTACGGTGTCATAATGCGCTGAACCATCTCATTGAGTCGGTCTTCGGTAATTGATCCATCCTCCAGGCCTTTGGTAAGGCCATCTTTGAAGAAGAAACTGGCGCCCTGATAATTAGATGGCGGAATGTATCCTGGCATTTCAACTTCCAGACCGGCGTTGATGGCCTTGGCGGCTGAGTGGGTAGCGAACCAGTCCGAGACAACGTAGCCAGCGAATCCTAATTCATCTCTTAGAATCTCTTTCAGAAGATACGAATTTTCACAAGCATAGGTCTGGTTCACTCTGTTGTAAGAACACATGATGCCCGTGGTTCCTGCTTTGACAGCGTTGGCAAATGGCCAGAGATATAGTTCATGTAGTGTCCGGTCATCAGCGTTAGAGGATATTGCGTCAACAGGGCTGCCATCCTCGGATGTCGTATTGCTTCTTTGGGTCTCCTGTTCATTGAGAATGTAGTGTTTCGAGCTAGTCTGAACACCATTGTCTTGAATTCCACGGACTGTTGCTTCCATAGCTTCACCGGCTAGGAAAGGATCGGGACCAAAGCCCTCCCAGTTCCGGCCACCCAGCCCATGGCGCCCCATAGGACCAACAGCAGGTCTATGTTTTGAGTCAGTTTATTAAAAATTGTCGATCTATGTCGAGGCGTGAAATCATAGCATTAACATACCCTAGCAAGACTTTCGTGCCTTTGCCTCTCGCCTCCTCACCAAGGGCATGGGCACGCTGATAAATCAGATTTCTATCCCACGTCGCCGCCGCTGTGATTCCCGATGGAAAAACGGTAACGAATTCGGCACGGTTGACGGCATTCGGCCCATCTGACATACACACTCCCGTAAAGTTGAGGCGAGGAATGGGCGGGATGACCCCAATACAGCCAGCACCAGCAGTTGCGTTACCGTATGTGAATGCGATTTTCTCCTCGATAGTGAGCTGTAAAGTGAATATCTTGGCCTTCTCTGAAGCTTTGGCCCAGTCGCCATTTCCTATAGGTTTGTGTTTGTGAGCCAAGTTACAATGAGATAGGGAGCCAGCGCTGTGAGAGCTTACCGAAGGAAGAGGCAAAAGCAGCCAAGCATAAGATGAAAAGTATTTTGAAACCCATTCTAATTCTTAAGTCTAGAAACACAGACTAGATCAAATTGGTGCTCCGCTTCGGTCGAAGACGCCCTCTCTGTGACATTGGTCTGTTTATGTGGACAACTATATACCTGATTTTCGGGTTTGTTTATCCTTCGTTTCTTGGGTTTTCCAAATAGACTCAAGAGAAAGGCCAGGAAAGGGCCGAATGAAGTTCTCTCTTCAAAAGATTCGAGGTCATGCTTGCCACAGGAAGTGAAACTGTATGACGTCTTGCGAATGATCATGCGTAGAATGGGCTCAATTCAACTTCGCTCTGCACTACAATCGGGCCGACATACAAAACTGATTTATTTCCATTTAGCCTTTTCTATTTTCCTACCTATTTAGTACGTGAATGAAGAGGTTGAGGGTTGCATCTTGCGAGGGGTTCGCGTTCGGCTCGGACTCGGGTTGATACCCGAGAAAAGCGAGCATCATCTGCAACATATTGATTTGGGCCAAGTCGCATTATATAGTGAACATGAGAGCCATTTATCTCAGAAACTCGCCAGCCCGAATCCTGTAGAATTCGTGGCTCTCACGTAAGAGAAAGAGAATAAAGCTCAACAGCAATGGAAGCTGCCAGGGCCCGACAACTCAACACAGTGAGTAGCTCCCACACCGCACCTTCGAATATCGAAACAGAACTGGTAGAGAAACAAAATACAAACCTCTTTTGACAAGCTTATGGAATTAACTAGGCTGTTCCTTAGCTTTGAAAAGGAACTTCACAACATATAGAATATAACGGCGAGCATGCATACCGTTTAGTCTGACAACGTTGCCGCACTAAGGCTTGATGCTTAACCCCGCGTCCATGTTTGAGGAAGGAAACAAAGAAATACAGATGTTCTTCTGGAAGCACGGCATATTGAATAAATAGCGAATGGCATAAATAGTTATTTACAGGTATCATTAATCCATTAAATCATCGTACCCAAGTCTCGGCATCGTTAATCTCAGGATGCAGAGATAAGATGAGGCTGCATAGGCTACCATCTATGCTTATTACTGCGTCAGCAGACCACTTGTAAATAATTAGGTCATTTATGACGAGTTTTCTGTGTGTTCATTCTTTCGAAAACCATATCCATAATGCATGCTCTAATTATGGATGACGTATTTGCGTCGATATCAAGATTATAAGGCCGTAATCTGATAGGAAGACTCTCCCAAAGATCATGATGAAAGAGATATTCTATGGAATCCCCAATTGGACCAAGTGTGTATGGTGAATCAGGGCGTGAGTGTGCTGAAAAAAATGTATCCCATACCCAATACCATCTCTCTGTGCTCTCGGTGTCCGATTGATCTTGGTGTTTTCGGATTTCATAAAGGTTGGGTAATATTTCTAGTTCCCGCCGAGATAATTGTTCAGGGTTGGACGCACGCTCGCAGGTGTCAATCTTAGTATGAGCGTCGAGGTCGGACGACTCTTTGAAGGAAACGTAACACTTCAGGCAGAAATGATCTGATATAGTGCATGAACTCTTGAGAGGTGCATACGAAGGTCGGCCGCTCTGGGAAAATTGTATTTGAAGCATTTTTCATTTTTGAAGGGATCCAATTTCAAAAAGGGACATGCGAACAGTTTACCTTCTTCGCGTTCGGACATTGGTATTGGCCGCGTGTTTTTGCGCCGTCGTAGTCCACCGTCATCATCTCCTAGAGCCGCCTCGAAATTGGTCGACATGCCTACCGGCTCTTTTCCTTTTTTAGTTGGTAAGGAGTCGAGAGACCTTATGATTTTCGGCTGCTTGTTAAAGAAGTTCGGTGGCGGAGTGTCACATGGCAAATCAACGAAAACCCCCTCCTCATCCATCCGATGGAGAGTTTTCCGGTTGCTCTCCCATCTCAAGTATCTTACTACCGAGACGGCTGGCAAAACAAGCAGCAGTACCACAACGAGAATATGTATTGGCGTTAGTGGCCCTCTTTGTGTTGCCAAAGGGAGATATGTTTCGTGCCCATCGAGAAGCTTGGTGAAAGCTCTAGAAATGAGCGGTTTATCGTTATCAGGTGATTCGAATTTGACATGCGGAGGTGGTGGTAGAGTTGAAGCCAGTGCTTCGTTGCACTGGGGTGTTATAGTTCCAGAGTCGTAAGGTTTGTTAGGAAATGGTCTATGGTTTCCAGGCGGCTGCAAGGAGCACAGTTACCTACCGCAGCACTCTGACATTGCTCGATATAGTCTTTCAGAGCCGTCCACTGGGCCAACTCTAGAGCCTGCTTGGACAGGTCTTGGCTCTCAAAGCCTGGTACCAAGGAAATGGCAGCGAAGATCATGCCAGGAATAGCAATAGCCCAACCCGTCACAGCCAAGATATTTTCGGACAGCCATGCTCGCAACTTGGATAACTGTACTCGCAAGCAGGAAAGCCATATTCCCAAGCGGGAGAGCCATATGGGGAGAGAAGGTTCAGATTGGAGATTGGCTGCCACTGCTGTGAAGCTCAATATCTGGAGGGCAACATTGGATTGCGGTGTTGATGGGCGGGAGGCAGGATGCGGGGACGAAGATGAGGGCATCCTTTGATTGAAACCTACGGTCCTGGAGCTGTTGTAGATGACACAGCTACCAGGCGAAATAGTGCTGAATAGAACAAGGGGAGAAGATAGGACAGCCACCCGGTTAGGTATGAAGGCGTAAAGAGAATACCGCTAAGGAAGATAGATTTACTCGTGAAGATGATCAAAATGGTAAAAATGAGGCACTGCAGCAAGGCATTTTCGATTATGGAGCGCACAGCCTCCAAGACGAGCCAATGCATGCATGACTGCCCAATGAGCGACGACCGTCATCACTACATGTACATGATGAAGTGCAGTTGCACGAGTTCTCACGAAATGTGCTTTCAACACATCTTGAACTACAGGCCAAAACTATGGTCGTCAAAATCAGAAACGAACCTGTTAGTTTCCTTGCTATTTTCGCTTTAACATACATTGAATTACGACTCGCGTTGATGTTGCGACTGACTCGAGGCAATCGTCTTGTAGGGGATCTACCCTATAACGGTGTAGTAGGTGCAAGTATCGAATGAGCCGTCACTCGCAAAACCGCTATACTGAGATCTCTACCTTTGTCAATTCCCTCAAGAGGTAAAGGAATGTGATTGCTCGAACTATTTTTGTTTTTTTTAGCAGCTCTACTAAATAATACGCTTATAATTTACATTGGACGTCAAGACGAAGGCAGCAAATAGTTCTTGGTCATTTAGCGTACCTACATATAGAGGTACATCCGTTACCACCCGCGACAGTTGGAGGGCCGCGAAAAGGGGGACGGACGACAGGGTTACTGCATTAGGCTGAATGTTACAGTGTGGCTCGCAGCACAGCACAGCCCAGTTCATGATCAAGCCAGCGCCAAACTCAGTGTCCGGCGAGGCTGATGTAGTTGCGCTAATCAAGTTATTGGAGGGTGCTTGTTGCAACTGTAGAACTACAAGGTACCTACTCAGTTAGCTGGTTGCTGGGCGAGATAGAGCACGAGTTGATTCCCCAGGCACTATGGAGCACAAATTGATATTTTGAACTGGGGCGGTATTAAAATTAGAACTGCGCAGGATTAATTAATGCACTTGCTTCGCTTGCCTAGCCCCAGAACATCAATGGATCGTAGTGGGGGCTGCCCAGAGTCAGCGGCAGATCATTCGCCCATCACAGGGCTGATGGAAATAATTGAAGGTCGCGCGCGGTACAGTCTCTGCCCAAGGATCGACTGCTGTCTTCACGCGGGCGGGATCAGCATCGTCGCTGGGGGTGAGAAAAGGGGGATGCTCACCCAGCACCAACAGGCAAAATCTTCTTCACATTTCGACGCAATTGGGCGTTCAAAGCTTGCCAGGAGATTGAAGCTACATCGGATTCGCCGTGTTTTGAGGTCCAAGTTCGTCACAACTGGGAGCAAAGGGCACCGGCGTATCGAATCTGGGTGCCTCCAATAGGCCAAGCGCCAGGCTAAGGTACCCCGAGGCCCCCTAATAACTGCCACTAATCTCACGGTCTGCGGCTGCGCCTGTTGCAGCTACGCCACAGCTGTCAAAGTCCCTACTGATTTTTCTCTACGGGCGCCTTCAGCTCGAATTCTCCTTCTTGCCTTGCGCTTGGCGGCTTCAACCCCCATCTCAGCATTGGATATCCCCATACCTACATTCCGTCCATCAAGTATCCGTTATCCCCGTCTTCGTCCATTATTCAGGTCGCCGCGCTGGCCCTCTCAGTGCCCCGTGCCGACGAGTCTCGCGGGCGCGACACGCCGTGGCAGCCCCAGCCAAGGACCGGGAAACGGACACCTCCGTCCTACCGACTTGCCGCACCTCGCCATATAACGCCATCTAAGGTGTATACTTATATCATACCGCCTACTCAGACACTTATCCCATCATGGACATCGTAGATCTCGACTACGAGGAGGAGCAGTCCGCCGACCCCCTTCTCCCCACTTCATCATCGTTGAGACGCGCCCCTCGCCTTACTGTCAAGTCTTGGATCCGTTCGACGGGCCGCTCTGTCGCACGGTATTTTCCTGGCAGACCTAGGATCCGACGCAAGACCTGGTGTTTTCATTTCTCTGTTCTCTTCGGCTTCCTCTTCTTCCTCCTCATCCTCCTCCCTTTCCTCCTGCCTACCTACGCAAGACCCCCTGCCCACTTCTCCCGCCTCGACAAAGCCTGCCGCACCTCCAAGCCGGAGGATGGATGTGCCAATCCTAGTAATGAGAAGGTCTTCATTACCGTCGCCCTCTACGATCCGGATGGCAGCATTGCTGGTGGCAAATGGGGCCAGTCCGTCCTGGATCTCGTCCATCTCATCGGCAAGGACAACGTTTACATTAGTATTTACGAGAATGACAGCGGAGACCCAGGTCGCAACGCCCTTGACAGCTTCAAGTCCCAGCTTGCACGTCAGGACAGGACCGACTTCGTCATCGATGAGCATGTCCCCGTCGACGACTACTTTCCCACAATCACCATTCCAGGCGGCTCCCAGGCTGTGAAGCGCCTTGCCTACCTCTCGGACATGAGAAACCGCGCTCTGCGTGCTGTTGACTTCAAGGACCCCGACAACCCCATTGATGAATTTGACAAGATGCTGTTTCTCAATGATGCCATGTTTGACCCTGTCGAGGCGGCCCATCTTATTTTTGACACCAATGCTGCCGAGACGAAGGATGGAAAGGCCAATTACTTGGCTGCCTGTGCAGTAGATTACAACCGAGTCCCGATTGTACAGTATGACCTGTACGCCTCGCGCGACGCTGAGGGCTACGCATGGGGCTTCTTCATCTTCCCATACTTCAGCAGTGCTGGTAAGGGCATCTCACGGAAGAAGACTCTGGCTGCGAGCGACGCTGTACCTGTCAGGAGCTGCTGGGGCGGAATGGTCGCCGTGCAGGCAAAATGGGTCCAGGACTCGCTCACGATCGGCAATGCGGAAACTGTTCCCTTCAAGAAGATCACCAACTATACCATCGACCCAGACAAGCCTCACAACGTCACCACGCCGGTTCGTTTCCGGTACGAGCCCGAGATGTTCTATGACGCTTGCGAATGCTGTCTCTTCCTGGCTGATTTGAGCGCTGTGGCCGCCCGCGATGGGGAATGGGCAATGGGCGACGGTATCTTTGTCAACCCATACGTCCGTGTCTCCTACAAAGAGAGAGCCTTCAAGTGGCTGCGCATCGTGCGACATTGGGAGTGGCTTCTCACCATCCCCCAGTATCTGGTCAACACCTTCGCCAACCTGCCCAAGAACAATCCTCACAGGGAGGTCGTGGAAGGCCAGCCCTTCAAGGAGGAGATCTGGAACATCAAGGAGGAGAGATGGGACATGGTAGACAGAATTGGCAGGAACGGCATGTTTTGCGGCGTGAGGGAGACGCAGCTGATTGAGCCGGGGAGGCGTGAGAAGGAAGGGTTGAACTGGATGAGTTGGGAAGATGGGCCTTGGGACAGCCAGCAATTGTATTTTCCCCACTAAGATACCCTCAAAATGTATGTTTTAATGAGATAGATTGTGTATTTGTCTGTATATGGATATGGCGGGTATAAAGACCAGTAATGAAGTGCCACGACGGCAGCATGAGAGCAAATGCCATGACCCATGATTTGACACTCGCAATTGCGCTCTGCTTGGCCCCCTTTCTTCCATGATTGCATACCGAATCTCGCGCAATTTCTGCCTGCAATTAGCTTCCGCTTCAGATACAAAGTAATAGCTCAATTGGCCGGCAATGTGCTGGCGTGGTGCGCTGTCTTGCGAGTCCGTCAATGCCCATAGACTTGCTTCTGCAGAGGCAGGTCTGCATAACATTCCTCGGCGACGGGAGATGGACACGGGGTCCTTGTGGAACCAATCGACTGAGCTGAGGGGACCAGTTGATTGGAGGCCAGCTGCCGTCCTTCATGCAGGGGCTGGCTTGACTTTGAGAGATGCACAATGCATGCACCATGGCATGGGCTGACCTGCGTGGCATCTCCAATGCTATCAATAGCGCCGCGGCAACGCTGAGCTGGGAGGGCCATACGGGCATCTCGGTCATGAGGATGACTTGAAGTCTTTTTGACAGCTTGGATGGATTGAAATCAGGTATAAAAGGCATCGGCGGTTCCCTCGAAATCAATCCCCTCCTTCTCATCATCACTCACATCTTCAATCTCAATCCAACAACCCAAACCACCTTTTCAACCCCCCCAACCTTCACAATGGCGTAAGACCTTGACAGTACTCTCCCGACTGCCTTTGGATTCATACTGACTGATCTTCCAGTGAGCAGTTCACTGTCCCTCTCCCCACCGCCACTGGCCTCAACACCCCCGCTGGTACGTCCCTCACATCTCAACCATCGCAGACAGACAGATACTAACCTTGTCAACAGGCCAGCTGATCAAGGGCGCCACCCAGGACGACGGCTCCCTCCGCGACGCCGCCCTCCTCCTGGGCATCAAGCTCGACCTTGAGGCCGAGGTCCACCTGACTGCCCGCGTCAAGGGTGATGTCGTCGTCGGCCTCTACTAGATGCGCCGAGATTGAGGGGATGATTCACTGAGAAAAGGATGACGAGATGGCCGAATGGGTTCTATGGATGAGATAAAGATGTGGGTGAGGGTTCGACGATTGGGAAGTCCTCATGCGCCCAGGGACCGGGGGTCAGATCAGAGTCGCGAGTAAAAAAAATTCAAATTCTTTCTTCTTGCCTTTTCGGCTTTGATTTTGCTCCTTTGAATTGAGATGGTATTTGCGGAGTGCCTCACGAGGAGGAGCCCCATGTGCTCGGAGGAAATACTTACCAGCCAGTCGCATGTCATTCCGTCCGACGACATGGGAGAAGGTGATCTGAAGAACCGGGAAGGCCGCCGACTCGCCGGATTCCCAACTCGGTGTTATGTATCCCCGGCTCGGGCTGCGACTGGTTAATATTGAGGGGTACAAGAGTGTTCTGTTTCTATCTCGATTGAGGGGAGATTTAAGTAATATTTTCTCCGAGTTATAAAGGGACCTGCGTCACTTCGGGGACGCTTAAAACGTCGTTTGATCTAACTGTCTTGTAATCTGAAAGAAGGATACTCTTGGCCCATCATGACACGACGGTTAATCCATCCGGAGCTGGGATCCGGCTCAAGACCTCGTATGTTCGTCACCAAATAGTAACACAATAATTGAAAGGAGAAAACTCCCCGCTGACGAGACATATCTATACGTAGCAATTGTCGTCGATGGCACCTCCTTCGCCATCAACGGGGCAAACTCGTCCTACCGCTTCCACGTCGACCCAGAGACGGGCGACCTCACCTCTGACCACTTCGGCGGACCGGTCACGGAGAACCCCATCGCCGAGATTCGCGCCAACGGAGGCGGCTGGTCGACGGTCGAGCACCTCCGCAGAGAATGGCCTGACCTCGGCCGGGGCGACTTCCGCACCCCTGCCGTTCACGTCAAGCACGCCGAAGGGTACACGGTGAGCGACTTCAGGTACGAGTCTCACAGCATCGTGGAGGGGAAGCCGGAGCTGCCTGGGCTTCCCTCGACGTTTGGGAGCGAGAGTGAGGTGTCTACGCTGGTCATTCACATGGTTGATAAGGTCAGCTCGGTCAAGGCGGACTTGTCGTATTCCATTTTCCCGAAATACGACGCCATGGCTCGCAGCATCAAGATCACGAATGAGGGGACTTCGGATATTTCCATTGAGAAGTTGGCTAGTTACAGTGTTGATCTTCCGTATGAGGAGTATGAGATGCTTCAGCTTCACGGGGAGTGGACTCGTGAGTGTACACGAATTCGAAGAAAGGTGGACTATGGCGTACAAGGGTGAGTTGAAAGTATTTACGAAAAGAAGGTCATCAAATTTGGAAAAGCCAGTTCTGACAGCAGCTGCCAACAAATAGATACGGGAGTGCGTCCGGATTCTCCTCATTCTACCACAACCCGTTCCTCGCCCTGGTATCTCCTAGCACGACAGAGTCCCACGGGAACGTCTGGGGCTTCTCTCTGGTTTACACGGGGTCATTCAGCGTCGAAGTCGAGAAGACCCCCCAGGGCTTCACCCGCGCCTTGGTGGGAATGAACCCCATCCATCTGTCGTGGCCCCTCAAGCCGGGCGAATCCTTCACCTCGCCGGAATGTGTTTCTGTCTTCTCCAAGTTCGGAATCGGCGACATGTCGCGGAAATTCCACCGCCTCTATCGCCAGAACCTCATCCTCAGTCCCTTTGTCAACAAGCCGCGGCCGAGCCTGCTCAACAGCTGGGAGGGCCTGTACTTCAACTACGACGAGGAAAAGATCTACAAACTGGCCCAGGATACGGCTGCCCTGGGAGTCAAACTGTTCGTGCTGGATGACGGTTGGTTTGGTGTCAAGTACCCTCGTCTGAATGATCGGGCCGCACTTGGAGATTGGGACCCGAACCCAGTGCGGTTCCCCAATGGTTTGGATTCGCTCGCCGACAGAATCAACAAGCTCAAAGTTGAAAACGTATCGGGAAGCCAGGGTCCTGCTGAGAATCTACAGTTCGGGCTCTGGTTCGAGCCGGAGGCGGTGAATGTGAAGTCTTTGCTCTATGAGCAACATCCTGAGTGGGTTCTCTCAGCCGGAAAATACCCTCGTACAGAGGCGAGGAACCAACTGATGCTCAATCTAGCGCTCCCAGAAGTTCAGGATTTCGTGATTGATGCAGTGTCTAAAATCCTATCTACGGTAGCCGTTACGTATCTCAAGTGGGATGCCAACAGAGCGATCCACGAGAGCCCGTCGCCGGAAAACCATCACGCGTATATCTTGGGCTTCTACAGAGTTTCAAAGGTGCTCACCACCCGGTTCCCTCATGTGTTGTGGGAAGGCTGTGCTTCGGGTGGCGCCCGTTTCGACCCCGGAGTCCTGCAGTACTTCCCACAGTTCTGGACCTCGGACAACACGGACGCCCTGAGCCGCATTCACATCCAATTTGGCACCTCGCTCGTGTATCCTCCGTCGACCATGGGGGCACACATATCGGACGTGCCGAACCACTACACCCGCCGAACCATCCCGATGCAGTTCCGCGCCCACGTCGCCATGATGGGAGGTTCGTTCGGGCTCGAGCTCAACCCGAGCGCCATAACCCCAGAGGACAGGGCTGCGCTGCCCGAACTCATTTCTATCGCGGAGAGGGTCGCTCCCATAGTCATCGAAGGAGATTTCTGGCGTCTCAACTTGCCTGAAGACTCGAATTACCCGGCTGCCATGTTCATCTCGGAGGATGGCTCACGTGCCGTGTTGTTTTATTTCCAGATACGCAATACCGAGGTCCACAACTTCCCAATGCTATATCTCCAGGGCTTAGACGAAACTGCATTTTACAAGATTGATGGGGAGGGGGCGTATTCTGGAGCTACGCTGATGAATGGTGGCATACAACAACGATTTAAGGGGGATTACGATAGCCGGATTTATTTTATAGAGAGACTGTGAGTACATTTCGGAGCTGGAATACTCAGAATATATCTCTTGTCATTCTCCAAGGTTAAGAGAGGGCTATGATTTCTGTATTTTTGCTCCTGGATGAACGATGACTGCTTCTGAACCGGAAGTTTTGAGTGATTGGTTATGAAGTTTGGCTAGAATACTTATTATATCTACTACTACTTAGCGGTTCACGATAGAAGTAGAACTCGATATCATGTAGAGTGTGAATGACAACAGCATATATACCCAAACCTATATGTGTTTTATATACATGAAATATAATCTTGAGGCATTGCAGCAACGTCTGATCCTTCTACTCCTGTTAACTTGTCCTTACTTACCTAGAGAATATGATAAAGGTTCCCTGCCAAACATGTCCTTAGCTGTCTTGTCAGCCCCGTGCGTCAGCAACACTCTGATCACGGAAAAGAGCCCACGTTCGGCGGCCCAGGAAAGTGCTGTTCTGCCTTGGTGATCTTGACAGTTCACATTTGCCCCTGATTCAAGCAAGAGCGTAGCGATTTCCGCATCTTTCCCAAAACCGGTCTTTTTATTACCCGTGCCCATGAGGGGAATGATGCGCATAAGAGCTGTTTTCCCGGATACGTCTTGGATGTTCGGATCAGCACCATGATCAAGAAGGACGCGGACAGTGTCGAGCCTGCAAAGCGAGGAGGCGACCATGAGTGGTGTACGGCCGGCGTCCTCCAACGTGTTAACATCCGATCCGTGTTCAATCAGTATTTCGACGATTGAGGCACCGCTAAACGCCACAGCTTCCATCAGGGGCGTCTCGTTGAAGTCGTTCTTGCGGCTGACATCCGCGCCGATGCTCAGTAAAAACTTCAGTTCTTCAACCTGGCCGTGCTTGGCTGCTACATGCAACGGGGTCCGGCCTGCTGTATCCATTGGGATGTTCCTGTGGTGCAGGATCCGGAGGAACTCGATCTTCCCGAACCGGGCTGCTTTGTGTATCACCATTTCCCCGTCAGTATGCAGGGCGAATGGATTCGCGCCACGATCAAGGAGTAAATCAACAGCATCCCAGTGCCCATTCTCGACAGCACAGGCAAGCGGTGTCGCCCTGTGCGGCAGCTGATGGCTTTCGATGTCGGCGCCGGCGTCGAGGAGTAGGGCCATGATGTCGACGAAGCCAAGTTCAGAAGCTGCCCACAAGGGGGAAGAACCGAATTGGCCGTGCTTGGTGTTTACTTCGGCTCCTCGCTCGAGGAGCAGCCTGACAACTTCGGGATGTCGATATTTCGAGGCAACCCATAGAGGGGTTGTTCGGCTTCCATGGGAAGCTCCCTCGACATTTATCCCGCCGTCAAGAAGCGCCTTAGCCATTTCAAGATTGCCTTCGCCTGATGCTGCCGTCAGCAGGGACAACTGGTTGGGCCCGTCAGTTCTTGCACCACGTTCGAGCAGTAGCTGGGCAACTTCGGGATGCGAGCGTGCTGACGCTACCCGTAATGGGGTTATGCTGCTTCCTCTATAGTTCCCATCGATGTCTGCCCCATGGTCGAGAAGCACCTTGACCATCTCAAAGTCTCCCTTGTCCGCGGCTGCTGTTAATGGGGAGAATCCATTGGGGCCGATCGTTTGGATGTGTATGTCTTTTCGTGTTAGTAGAGCCTTGACCACGTCTGCAAATCCATCCATGACTGCCTGATGTAGAGCGGTGTATCCATTAACCTTGACATTGATGTCCAAATCCTCGCGGGCTAGGAGATGTTGAAGAACTTTCTCGTTGCCGCCTTGGGAGATGAGAATGAGCAACGGCGTTCTGCCGGGACTACCGTCCTGATTCACATCGAGACCCTCTAGGTTAAGGATCCTCAGAGCCAGAGTATCATCAGACTTAAGCAAAGCCCACTTGAAAATCTCTATGGCTAGTACATCTGGTGTTTCGAGAAGAGAAAACACGTGGCCTAAGTCCCATTCTGGGAGTTGATGGAGAGATGGATCATGTATTGTCCCAAATAGAAGATAAGATATCGTATTCTGAGCTGTTCTGGATATATCGACTTCGTAATTTGCCGGGAAGACTTCTTTTCGACAGGCATCTGATGAGATCCCCAGCAAGGCATATACTCTGTCTCTCGGGTCGGATGCCCGGCTGGACTTGAACTTCCATAGCAATGTCTCAAGCGTGCGTTTCTCGCTCCACCAGCAAGAGCCTCGCAGGTGGCCCGGCATGATTTCTAACACAGCCCGGGAATGAGCATCGGGTTCGATATCCATCAGCGAGGGCATCAAGGCAAACGTCCTCGATGATATGGACCTCCAACCACACACGATCAGAGCCCGTCGTGCGCTGGCCGCCTCCTGCAAGACCCAGATCCTCCGGAACCATTCGCGCTGTAGGAGCTCCAGCATTGCTGTCCGGCGCTTCACATAAACGGTCGACTGGGTACCACCCTGCTCCTCCACCATGGCCGGCCATATCGCCCGCCAGCTCTCGGGAGATTGCTTCCGGTAGTTGCTCTGCAGCATCGCGCGCCTCTGAAGCTGAGTCATGAGATCGAAGAGGAGATCGACGTTGTCGCCCGCGCGACCCAGCCAGATCAGCACTTGCTCGGCATTCTGGTAGATCTGCTTCATGTGGGAGACCTGGTGGCCCCTTTCCTGGTCGTTCGACTGATTGATGCACAGCGCGTCCACCCATAGCAGCCTGTCGCGATCGCTGAGACGCAGGCAGCTCAGGGCCATGTACAAGTTCCAGGTGACCCATGCCACTTCGCCGTTTAGCTTGATTTCAGCAGGTTCCGACTCGAAGCCCCAGGTGTAAGACAGAGCCTCGTAGGGTATGCAGTCAGATTCATCGAGAGAGGTTTCGAATATCTCGCACTCGATTGCGTCGGTGTGGTAGCCCTTTCGAAGACGAAGGAGCCTGATCTGGTTGGTAGATGAATCGAGGGGCTGATACTGGTAGCGAGACATTTTACTTGATGCTTATGACTGGGGAGGAGTTGGCATGCGAAGAGGGGGTGACCAAGACATTGATTCCACTTCCAAGGCACTCGTCCTGTTTATGTCGATGTAGATGGCATGGATAAAGAAAGCCTTGCCGTAGCAATTGTTTGATCAATGCTTATGTGGGGTTATTATGTGGCTCAGTGTAAGAGAGCCAATCATGCATGGACTCTGCACTGCCACAGCTAATCATACCAAGAGAGGATAGCGATTCATTAAGAAATTAGATGTTGCCTGATGAAATGCCTCGTGGATAGGCATTGCGGATGTCGTTCTTATTTCTGCCTTCTATCATGCTTGGCGCTTTTGTGTCTGGATGAAGCTACGAATTAAATGTGGTACATATATGGCAGCACTGATCCTGAAGACAAAGTTGAGGACGGGAACACGAGCGTGATGGGATGGATAATTTTGTAGATATAGACGCATTTCGTAAACTCAGTCTCAACAAACCGGACCTCAGCTTTTGTTATATATTGGAGGGCTTTCTCAAATCGTGTAACGTTGCGCAGATTGAGATTCTTGGTGCTTGAGAGTAAGTTCAATGAATTTGTTGAGTGCTGGTAGTCTAAGCGTCAATACAAGATACGAGTAAGCACACCGGCCTCGCTGTAACTAGCTGAGTTGTCATTCGTAGTATGTTGATAAGTAGTAGTATTATCGAAAGCCCAACTCAGAGAAAGCGGCTGGAACATACGAATATTCGACTTCAGTTTCGGTTTAGACCCTTGCTCTGGGGATATATAGTCCAGCCGTCGCTCACAAACTTAAGCTCCCCACTCTTTCTAAGTCGATCGATATCTGTACACACTTTCACTCGAATGTTACCCGACATCAAGCCATAGACGCGGAACAAGATACAGGCTTGCAGCTTCTGTTTGGTATCCAAGCGCTGTGTAGAGAGGTACTCCTCCATCTGTGAGATTATTAGCGTTATACTTGTTGTAGAGAAGTGGTATGCTGGTTTCGGAAGCTGAAAACGAAATCAAGAATATCCTACTTTAATGTATTGGTCATTGGTCATGTAAAATGGCAAGTCGGGCTTCTCTGATGGACTCGTCTTTGTGAGGATGAGATATTCTGGCGTGCTTTCCTGCCAAGAATCATCTAGAAATCCCCTCTGGATCAAATTTTTGGTCAATTCACCCTTCCTGTCGTGATATGTTATGTGTCCAGCCCCGTGACACACCGTATCGGGTATGTTCTCGTAATCTGGATGGGCTTTGACGAATCGGCGTACGTTGCTTCTCCATGCCCCGATATCGAAATCGGTAAGCTGTAGCTTGAGCAGACTCTCGAAAATCTAACATAGGGAATCGAAATATTAGTGACGGGCGATGGGGGAGGCCGAGGGACAGGTGATGGGCAGTGCTCACAAACAGTTCTCCTGCTGCCCCAACCATATATTTAAACTCCTTATCATCTCGAGCAGTGAAATTGTAGTTCGAGGAGCCGTCAAGACTTCGAGTTAATGAATTCATATTAAAGACAGACTCGGAATCGAGTGGTATGGTGTGCTGCCGAGCCACCTCGACAACTCGAACAAGAAGCCGTTTATATGCCTCTAACTCTCTGGACTCGTCATAATATTCCGAATAGTTATTAGGAACATCCATTGTAGAGGAACCGGCAGAGTATGACGCTGAGTCTTCGGCCCAGTATGTAAAAGCATGGTTTGATCTCCTAGGGGGAGACTTTCCGATTAAGACCAGTTCCCTCGATGACGAAGATTGAATCAAGCCTAGCCCTTCTATATCCTCATCATCGGGTTCACCAAGTGATGATTGGTCCAGCTCTGGGATTCCTTTCTCCTGGAGAATGAGGCTCATGCTCTTGGGCCTTCCGTGGATAACACTAGAAACCACGCTGAGGACTTTGTCGGTCACCTCGGACGTATTGCAACCGAGGAGAGAGGCGGCAAAATGATGGGGGAGCTTGGAAGTGATGCAAAAGTCCCGAGTGCTCTCATCTGCAGTTATGAATATTTTGAAATTGCCATGTTCCGAGGTGTCAATGTGAAGAACACCCTTACCGATCGGAATCTGAACTTCTTGCTCGTTTTGTTTGATGCAGAGCTTGGTGTTGATATCTTGAGCTGAGTATACCCTGAGCTTTCGAAGTGATAAATAGAGGCTCTGTGTGGAAGAGGCTGCCAATGGACTCTCAAAATGTGATGCGATGCTGTTGGATTAATAAGTCTCTTGTGTGAACTCGTAGTACTGAATGCAGAAGGGTAGACTAACCTCACAAATGCGCCGGCTTTCAAGATAAGGTCCTTTGTAAGCTCTCTGTCCAACAGATGATCGTTACCCCCCACAACTGTTCTTTCATCGACGACTCTGGACAGATTCCGGGTCGCCAATCCCATCCACTCAAATACAGGGGCAAGCTGCTGTACTTCTGCAACTGTAAACTTAAGAACTGTGATATGAGGCTGCAGAGCATCCAGGTAGCTCTGACGGTCGGCAATAGCAAACTCCTCCTTAGCTGACAGAAGTTGCACCTGGGTGTGTCCAGGCACAAAGGCTGGGAAGACTCGACTCAGCAGGGCTTTGTCTTCCAACTTCGGGATTTCACCTGGATGTGATGCGAGGTAGATCTTGAGAGACTTCAGAAGATTCTCTGCATGAGTGACCGATATGATACTATCACCAATTTCTTGAAGCTCATTGATAATAAGCTTCAAGTCTAATTTGCGCACACCCAGTATATCGACGAAAAATGCTGATAGATCGGGATAATGCCTCTCAAGAGATGGCTTGCCAAGTTTCTCGCCATCGATCGACCACAGACAGCTCCCAGTGGAGAACCATTCTGTTTCATTGTTGGAAGGAATAAAAATCAATGGCTCTGTTGCAAATTGAAGTCTTAGTGCAGTAGTTAGCAAACGTCACTTAGGCGCGAGGGTCGTACGGGCTGGTAGTATTCCGGATTAATTATGTTGACTGGGTGCATTATGTCACTTACTTTATCTTTTTCAAGCTGATACTGTTCCCCTTAATTTCCATGTTGGTGAGCATTTCTGACAGCTTCATGTATATTTCGCCCAACACCTCCAATGATGGCGAGTCTGAACTGGAATGGAGGATAAGTTCGTCTAAGAGGTCTTGGCTCTCGACATCTCGTATGCCAACTGTCCGGCGGAAGAACTGCTCCAGGCTGTCTCTGTCCTGAGGATCTAAGTTTGCGAGTACAGTTTGCCAGCGTGCACCTACCGGTTCTTTACTTTCAAACCCAGGAGGAGCATCCCATAGGCAATCTTGTGCACTGGCCCAACTACCGTCCTGGGCGTCCTCATGCCCCAGTGCGCTGTCGTTACTTTCCTGCGACGGAGAGCAAAGAACGCCGTAAGAAGAGTCAAAGAACTCTCTGAAGTAGTGAGAAAAGGAATAGTGAGAAAAAGAACTTGAGATCATAAATAGGAGATGGACGAGCCTTACCTTACTCTGTTCTGTGCTGCCTGACGGTCATCTGACGCGAGACACCGAGCGTGGATATGTAAGTATAGTCTCGTGACACTTGCGGTGAGCGATTCTGTGGTCCCTGAATCGCCACAGTTGATAGCTTCAAGAATTTTCAGGTAGAAGTCTAGATCATCTGTAACGCCCAAAGTGAATGCCTTTCCAACCCCCTCCCAGCCTAAAGCAGCTCCTTCGATAATCGGATCTTCCATTTCTAAGAATGGAAGAACAGTCGAGTCGGAGATGAAGCTGCCACAGCGACCGATGAGGGATGGTACTGGCAGATATGTGGAGGCAAGGGGTCTTTTCGCCCCTGACTGGTCAATAAACTCACACTCTCTGAGAAGTTGGATACGCTGTGGGTTTGACAACCAGGACTCTGCAAATGACGGGCTAGAGGCCCATTTCGCACATAGATATGAGATAATCTTTGGTGAACGATGCTCCACCAAGAAGCGAAACTCATCACTTAGCGTTTCAGGTTGGTCGTCATCTGCCCTCTTTGTAAAAAATTGGAAGGAGGTTTGAAGGCACATCTCATGATGAAGCCAGCTAACCCAGCTTTTTCCAAGCTTCTGATTTGTCTCAGGCCAATTTTCGAGATAGCAAGGGTGAATCAGTGACATTTTGGACTCAATAAAGCTACCCCCTGTAGTCTCGACGGGTGTTGACCAATTGAACGGGGAATATTTATCTCCTTTGTCTCCTGGAAGGTATAAATAGTTAAAAAATGGGAGCCGAGATTGACCTTTGTGATCCACTATCTTCATTCTATACAGCTGATGGCTGTTCTGGTTGAGGTGGTGAAAAACCCGATAGAGGTACCTGATGTGGTTTGCTGACTCTGCAGGAAGCGGTTCGCTGCTTTTGTGACGCTCCAGTATCAAGCTATAGGCTCTCTGAGGAGATAGCCGTTTGGCTTGAAGCTTCTCGTAAAGACTTGCGCAATCTTTATTCGCAGCTGCTTCTGGTAGAATACGATGAATGCCAAGATCTGGAGGGATGGCTACTCCGTCAGATTCAGGGAAATAAATATCCGACCCAAACAGACTAGATCCGATAGTGTATCTGCCTCGAAGTACCTTGGAAGCAAGTGGGATCAAAGGAAGCTCCAATAGGATGTTGGATTCCTTGCAGGATAGAATCTTGACGATCAATCTGGCCAGTCTTGCGTGCCAGTCTTCGTCGCGACTATCAAACATCCTCGAGTTCCAGGTGGTCGACTTCGTCAGAGCCGAAAGTCGAGGGATGACGCCCTCGTCGTCAAGGTACTCTAGCCCATACTCCATAAGGATTTTCGAATCTTCAGGCTTGTAATTTCTAGACAAATACAAGAGGGCGATCGAGATATCCGGTATAAGAGGTTTCCCTTGTCCGTCCAGGTGTTCAGGTCGGAGGCACTTGAGACTGGCTAAGTAATACCGGGTGGTTAGTTGCGGACTCTCAGGTTCTAGAATTGGCACTTTCCCAAGAGACTTTCGTATCTCAGGAACTAGTGCTGTCCAAAAGGGATCTTGGGGCAGGCTGTCCTGTCGGGGTAGATATCGCATCCATATATATCTGACAGATCGCAAAGTAGAGAGTGAGGCTAGACCCTTGGCGATGGCATCACTAATTGCAGCACGCAGTCCGATATTCCTTGGGGAAGTGGAAACGATATCTTGCCGGTTTGCCTGGGTGACGAAATCGGCATGAATGAGAAACTGGTACCGCTCTGTCAGCAAAATGTGATGGCATTTGTGGAAAAGGGTGAACTCACGTTGAACCCGACCCTGCGGACGGGCATGAATGCGAATAATTCCTGCGACTGGATGATAGGCTGACTGTTTTTATCGAGAGGAAAGGCCACGATGACTTGGCTGGTTGACCAAGCTTTCTTCTCAGTCTCCTTCGCGTCGTACTGTCTGTTTTCATTGGGCTGGAGGTTTTTAGCCTCATGTCTGACAACAAAGAAGCGATAGACTGATTGGCCGGGAGCTTTTGCTGAGCTCCCTGCTTCTTTCACCCGTATCTCAGCAGTGTCGCTGGATGGGTCGCTTCTTTTCATCCTGACTACTCGAGTCCAGGCGGGACTCTCATTGTGTTCGTCGTATACGGAAATATTGATCACCTTGAGCTTCTGAAGGAATAGCAATATTTCGACTTGTAAGTTTCGCAGGAGCTGGATGATGTCGGCCTGCTTGACATCCTCGTGAAAATGAAGGGTCATCCGTGTCGTGCTATCAGGTAGTGTGGTCTCGGGATCAAACCAGATTGGATTGATCATCCCAATCCCCGTATCCTTCTTGCGGTGCTGGAAGTAGAAGGAGAGGGGCCCGGATTGAATCTCGACCTTCCAGGCGGCGATGAAAACCGACTTGAAGCCGATTCCCTTCTCTCCGATGTAGCCCTGCGCGCCCTTCTTGGAGCTTTTACCCAGGTTGCAGATGGCTCTGACATTCTCAGCCGTGAACCCGTCCTCGTTACACTCCAGGACCAGCCTGTCGGGGTACACGCTGAAAGAGACACATGGGTCGCCGCCAGCCTGCCGGGTTGCCTTGTAGCTGTTGTCGTCCGCATTCTGGAGAAGCTCGAAAATAAAACGAGCCGTGCTTGAGTACAGATTACGGGCAAGCCTAGGAGAAGGGACAAGTTAGATGTATCGAGCTAAGGGAGTAGTCATTGTATACACACGTAACGGCACCGCTGCCTATGATGCTATCCTTAAGATTGAAAGCACGAGTGATTTTCTGTCGCATGGCCTCGGGAAGAGTGGCTAACTCCCTGTCTGAGATGAATCCATGATCCTCAGCGATTTTTTCCACCAGCTGTCTGGCGGAATGAATATCGAGGCTGCTCATGGTGTTGTTTGCCGCCATATCAATTACAGTGAGCTGGAAAGAAACGTCTTGAGTTGGGCGTCATGCTGGGCGAAGCGGGCATTTGATATAATCTGATGCAATGTGGTACGCAATGGGGGCAGAGCTGAGCAGCAAATGCAGGGGCTTGGATCCTGTCGTCATTTCTTGGGCTTTTAAGCGCCCCTAATACGCCTGGAGATGTAGATAACGCGAGTTATGCAGTTGGCTAATTTTGAGGGTGCGGCTGAATGGGATCATCATCGACGTGCAGTTCCGTGCTCTCGCTATTGGACGTCGAAGCGCCATCTTGAAATCTCAGGCATCCTGCGTTTGAAATGCACCTGTTAGGATCTGAGAATCGTCAGCAAGAAGGGTCGCGGAGTCCTTGGCAAGCGAAAAGGTCGCGAAGTGAGAAGTACAGATGAACCTTAATATAGGGGGGTTTGTGTGTGTGTGGACGCATGTCGACCAACAGCAGCTTCTCTGTGGCACAGTGCTTTAGCGCCAAACCCGGAGGCAGCCCATCACAATTCACCAGTTTTCGAGAGCAGGGGCTTCGGATTGTTGGACTTAGCTGGGTAGTTTCAAACCTCCATCACTAGATGCCTTAAGGAGGCGGGCTGGCCCTTCACGTGCGCGGTGTCGAGGAGCTGAACTTTTGGAGATTATCTGAGAAAAAGCTAGGTATTCACAAAACGAAATCCGAATAAAGCATTCCAATTCCAGCAAGGAAAATGAACACAACTTTCCATTCTAGTAGGGCTAAAATATGTCACTTCTAATTCGGCTGTATCTTGTGTCATCTTTCCGTGTGTTTTGCGTCTAGGCAGTGATGTACAGCCCATTGCTCATCAATCTGGTCAGGAATCGTAGCCTTACAGTATTTCCGTTATGCCACCGAAGTAGCCCGAGCAAAGGGGACAGGGTGTAAAGTTGACTGAATCTCTTTGCTCTGATAAGTGTATTCTAGGCAATTCAATGCCGCGCCAAATATTTGGAAATCAAGCATTGCCCTTATTGTTTTGGCAATGGCAGGGTGTTAGATTTCTAAACTATGCACCTTATACTGTAAATCAAGACATATAACTCGGATTGTCTGCTACCTGGCCAGACTGATGAGTAACACATGAGGGCCGACTCGGCTACAATTTTATGAACACTTGTTTTTCTACTCTTGCAAGTTACCCGGGAAACTTGTCCGTCCTATTTGGAGTATCTTGGAGTCGATTGAATCCGATATTTGGTACGGTTGTCCCGGAATGAGATGCACTTGCATTCCTCCCAAGCGTCAATAGATCCAAGAGCACCTTTACCGGGCCATTCATCTTTTAGGTTATTGTCTGGTGTAATTCGTATGATAGGGGGCTTCCAATACCTCTCAACGATGGGAAAATTCCTTGTGGTGACTCGAGATCTAAACTTGGCCAATGACAAGAGTGTCCCTCGGCGGAATATACGGCGAATTTTGATTGATTCATATTGGATATCCTGAAAAAGCAATGAGTGCATCATGTGCTCACCTATTTCAGGCCATTCAGCCAGCCTCAGTTGTCTCATCTACCCAAATGCGACCAAACATGCCCGTGCATTCCGGCGATCACATATTAGTGCATCTACTGCTGTACATATCGAACGCAAGCTTTCCCAAGCCAAGAACATAGTTCTGAGACTGTTTATGAAATGAGACAGGAAACATACAAGTCGGGATAAAGGGTTGACTCTGAAGGACCGAGTATCTGGTACGTTCCATGCCTGATTGAAAGTAACATAAACCCAAGTCAAAAATTGGGCATTTACCTGACAGAAGGAAGGTCTCCCTTGATGATGGAGATATCCACGAGTGGAGAATGTTCGCGAGACACCAGGCATTGGAAACGAATGATTTAGCTAATGAGGAAGCTATGATGGAGCCAGATTCGGTATATCATTCTGAATTTGAGTTGATGGGTGAATTTATGAGAAGATTCTATAACACGTATTAAACAGCAGCTTCATTTTGCTCACAGTTCTAACGATTGGTGCTACTTACAGTTTTGAGCAGAATAAATATACAAGGAATGGAGGGGATTGCACATCATTGGAAAGTCATGGGTGGACATATCTGAGCCTTGGTCTCAGTTTATCCCTGATTACTTAGACTGAGAGAATACCCGAATGCATCTGTAGAATCGTAAAGTTTCGGATAGAGCTCTCCCCCTTTGGGCCCTGATTATGGAGACATCTTGGAACTCCGCCGAGTTCAAAACTGGCCTTGCTGGGAATCTTTCGACTATAAAGGTGTGCTGATGCTGCTGTATTTGAAGCCCATCTACCCTCACCACATTGCCTATATACAATCGCAGTTCTCTTGTTCCATCCGAGACCATCATCATGCGAACGGGTGCCGTCCTCCAATTTGCCGCCCTTGCAGGGCTCTCGGCTTCAACGTCTATACCTCAAATGAGGAACTTTGTCCGCAGCCAAGATGAGAGTAAGTATCCAATTACCCACTGATTCGCAGTCAAGTTGTGATGAGAATGCTCACATGGTAAAAAGGAACTGTCACGCCAGAAGAGGTAGATCTGATGGACCTCTATGCCTCATACACCGCTTCTGCACCATGCAATAACGAGACAGCCATTAGAGATCCAGTAACTTGCTTCAAAAACTGTGAGAGAGCGGAACAAGATGAGGCGATTATTGTCGGGTCCTACCTGTAAGGTTCCAGTCAATGGCAACAGGCCAGAGAAAATGCACTGACAGATTGGTGGATAGGGGTGAGGAGACCGAATTCTTTGCGTACATCGCCTTGGTTGAAAGCCGAAAACAGATCATTTGGGTGGGTAGAGGCAGTGCTACTCCCAAGAACTGGGATACGAACTTCAACACAACGCTTATCCCAAGCGACCTCAAGGACGGTGCCAAGATCCACTCCGGCTTCAGCACCGCTTGGAATGAAATATCCCACGATGTCTTTGCTACCCTTGAAGAGCAAGTATCCGAGCACCCAGACTACGATATCATAATTACCGGCGGTTCGCTGGGCGGTGCGGTTGCCACCATAGCCGCTGCACACATTCGCGCGGCTGGATATCAAGCTGATCTTTACACATATGGTTCACCCAGGATTGGCAACGATGTCCTCGTCGACTTTATCACTGGGCAGCCTGGCAAGTCGTATCGGGTGACACACAGGCATGATCTGGTCCCACGTGTGCCGCCGCCCGTCAGTTTTTTGCCGGGTTGGGCGGAGTATAGGCACGTCTCTCCCGAATATTGGCTTCAGGGTGAGCCCTCTGATCCGAATAACTGGCCCATTAAAGACATCAAGATTTGCGAAGGGAACTGGAATCGCTCATGTATCTCCACCCCGGGGAATCCCATAGATTGGGACTTTGAGAGTCCAGGGAATGATCATCTAAACTACTTTGGTTCTTTGACTTGCTGGAATGATGAAAAGGGCCCAGTTGATCTCGCCCCCCCACAGCATACTATTGAAACCTTGCGGTCTATTGTGGGTGACAATCTATCATGAGAAGTTAGAAATATTACATCTTCTCGCAGTATGTTGGGATTTTGGGATTGGCTGTTGGATTCAACATCCTACACTATATGCTGATACAGATAGTGAGAGCGTGTGCAACTTCCCTTGGCTGTAGGGACCGTTGCCAGGAAAAAGGAATATTAGTTAGGTTGTCTACACAACCTCTTTGAAATATAATAATTCCTGTCTTTGACTTTATTCCCTTCTTAAATCGTGATCTTTGACTAATTTATCTTACAATTAATCTAGCTCACATAAATACCTAGATAGTCTCATTCAATTAAAGAAAGATAGGAGTCCCCTAACTAAACACCGAAAACACAGCATTTTATTGTAATTGTTGGTTTTAACTACGCAGCTTAGTTGCAACCTTTTCCTTTAACTAGAGCCGATCTCGTGATTGCCAACCTCCCGTAGGCACAGCTTGTAGTGTTGTTGGTTGGAAAACCTCACCGGTACTCAACAGGTAGTGAAAACTAGTAAGCATTCCGATAATAATTTATATTTCAAAAAGTCTTATGGCTAATGCTGGGTTAAATTGATCAATTTAGCTTGAGGGGCAAAGAATGGCAGAGGGCAGTGTGTATAATGTTGCGACTTCAATCCATGGAATTTAGAGACCTTTTATTCACTATGAAGTGTAGAAAATATTGGTACACATTCACGGGCGAAATGTGTTAAGTTTAGTCTTTTCAAGCCTCCTTGTGCTTCCAAATGTGACTGTCAACCGTCTAGCCATGTGAGCCTACGAAGGACGGAAGTTCTGGCCTTTCCGCCCACCATGAAAACCAACACGGATTAAAACGCAAGTATATCTGTCGAGTAATTTTTCGTTGCACGCAGAATACTAGGGCCCATTTATTTCACTGGGTTTGCTATTACTTTTGTCCTCTCAGGAGGCTATTCTTTCGAGCTGTTGGATTATACATAGGCAAGGCTGTTGTAACCTTTTAGGCTCTTATTATATAACCTAGAGGCAGGATGAATAGAGCTCTTTAACGCCCTTAGCTAGCTAGAATTAAGGATATATCTACCTATCTCGCCTAAATCAACAACTACTAAGAGCTTCAGGCAAGAAAACCTGGAGATCTAGGCAGCAAGCGATTCCACAGGGGTACCAAGCAATTCCAGAGGGATAAGACGTCCTTCAACCACGAGCCGTTTAAAGAACTCGCTTGTGTCACGTTTCCCCCATTTTGCTGCATCATATTTGTCACCCATAATCATCCGTTCCAAAGATCGCTCATATTTTTTGCGTTCCTCATGAACTGATTCAATTGTAGACCACGGTAAATAGACTTGCAGAGAGGGGGGCTTGTAGCCCAGCTTCTTCAGAGGCTCAAGTATACGCTTATAGGTATTGAACATGGCCTTCTCCATGCTCTCATCCTTGCGCCGCCTCAAGCGACTATTGCGATATATAACCAATTGGTACTGACCATAAGGATAATGTTCGAATAACTCTGTCCCATCTGGCCTGGGCCCAGGGCTGCCACTGAAGTGAACCTCAAGCTTCAGGCGTGATAGGTCTGCCAGACGAGAGAGACGCTCGATGGACTCAACCCACGCGTGCCAATCGACATGATCTGGCAATAGGTAGTCCGGAGAGCAAATTGGGAAGATGAAGCAGAGACTTCGAAGGCTCCATAGGCTTTCAAGCGGAATGCGGCGGAGGAAATGGGGTAGCGTGAGATGATATCCGTATTCGCGTCCCATTCCGCGGATAGGGGGGGAATGGAAACAAAGCTTGTTGCTGGAATAGAACACGTGTCGTGCGATGTAAGAAAACTCCTTGCTCACTTTGAAGTATGTGTCTGGCCGGAAACTATTGCACTCGCAATGCTGAGTGAAGGCGTCAGGATTACGTCTACGGCAGAAGCTCTCTGCACCAGCCATGGCCGAAAGACGGCCCTCGCCATCTCTAGGGTGGAGCCGCTCATTATTGCAGATTCTGTCGAGGTCGCTAGAGCGGAAAACCCAATCTCGCCTGAAGTGAACGTTTTCGCCAGCTAGCAAATGGGTTTGTTGCAGGATCTGGATCTGAAGCTCTAGCGGCAGGCTCATAAAACGGAACGGCAGTTTCTCCATATTTTCATTTTCACCCAGCAAGCCCTTTGCAGCGTTTCGTATAAATGACCTAGAATCAAAGCCCTTGATACGCTTGAGACGATGGCCAAGATTAACAGCCACGTCTCTGAGCGGAGGCATGCCGTTCAATGGGTCAAGGATGGCCTTTGCTGTCTCCACGTCATCAACGTCAGCAACGAGAGAGAGACTGAGCTGATGTGGGGGTGAGTTCGCGGCCAGACGGGCACATATTCGTTTCCATTGAACAAGAATCGACTTATCAGCCAGGCTGATGTCCGAAAACCGGGGGTGGGGACCGTGCGGAGAGAGTTTACAATCAACTCCAAGCCAGAAAGATGCTAAATCCTCTTTCTGCTGATCCAAAGATCCGAAGTGATCCAAAGATCCGATGTGCTCTCTGAAGAAAGCTGCCTCGGAGCGGTAGCGACATGGGAGCAAGCTTACAATGAGAGTCCTCAGCTCTCTAAGCGCCGTATCGCTCATCATTTCCAATGATTGCAGACCTCGGTCGCCTATCAGGCTTACTGCAAAGATGTTCTCAGCGTATAGCTTGCTCTCGACTTCATCATGGATTAGGTGGGAACCGGCCCACAGGAGCGGAGCGGAAAATGATGGGTTGCTGTCATACGAGCCCCTGTAATAAAGCTCGCTGATGGACCACAAGTTAAGGTCGATGAACTTGTTGCCCCCATAGCCCACCTCTTCGTAGATTTGATCCCGGACATGTTGCGGAAGGTCGAGGAACGTTACACGGGGAGGAAGCTTCAGTAGGCGATCAGATGTGAAAAACACGGCTTTGTTTGCCCTTGTCTACTTACAGGGCTTCTTTCACCTGTGCGTGAAAGTGTTGGTCTTGGTCGAGCTAGCATATCGTGCAATGTAGCCTCTTCCATGGTTGAGGAAATGAATCAAAAAGAGTCGTGCTCAGTGAGTGACAAGAGAAGGTAACGAGTGATGACGAAAAGACAGGAGGGCGGTCTCTTATAGCTAAAAAGATCTTCTAGACAACCAAGAGGTTCCACCTCTGTGCCTAGGTAAAACTGTCTCCTACGCAAAGTTTAGCTTGCTCGGGGCGTCGCTGTGAGGTTAGTTCCCAACCTTATGACCTAAGTCATCAACTAGATTTTGAAATACATAACCCGGGGGTAAACTTGTTTTAGACTCTAGAGTCAAATGCTTTTTTCGATGAGGCCATAGATTTAGAGATCAGAGAACTACAGGTGATCTCGCGTACAGGCCGATGAACTCGATGAATCCCAGTCTCTCATGAAGAACATTGTTCCACTTATGGTGTGTTGGCGGCGAGCTGACGAGGTCTCGCAAAATGAGCTTATCAGATCTGTGAAAACGAGATGCTCATGGCCATATTGGACATGTGCCTGCACACTGAGAAACTAACCATTAATGACGGATACGACAGTTTCACGAGGGACCTAAAAGATCCGACGGCCTCATCTCCCTGTCCTACAACATACATCCCGGACAACTCGTTGCAGAAAACGAACTCAGCTCCCGGTGCACACAGAGGTACACTGTCTTCATTTTCCTCATTGTCGACAGCAGTCCTTTTTAAACTCTCGAACGATTGCCGCTGTAGCTAAAAGTCGTTCGTTCTAAGTTGCTTTCTCAGGACCTTGGCACTCGAATACCACTTCACAATCCCTCCTACCGGGTTCTCTTTCAGTGCGTTCTAGGGACTAAAAAGCATTACTATTGAACTCTCATTTAAGAAAGTAGAATAAGTGATCTGACGGGCGACTCGTCCCGACGGCAAGTGGGTCATCGGTATGAAAGTTTACAGGTTTAGTTCTGCGTGGCTGTAACTTTGGGCTAGTAAAGCTTGGTTTTGCTTTTTGGTTTCATTGTGTTAAGGTATAGGACCTAGCCTCTTCCATTTCTGTTATTTACTTTGGACTCAATCTATCATCTGTACTCTTTCACTTCATCTGAAAATTAAGGAGCCTGATTCAAAACAGCAGCTAAGGGGTTATTGTGGTTATTGTGTTTGTTACGACATCGGCGGCTCAGCAGCCAGAGTATGTTGGGTTAAGTTCTTACTCAGTTCGAAGGCATATCTTTGAAACACACGCCACATGGACTGGACACGATAACCAACCAATGTAATTTTCATCGACAGTCTCGATAAAATTGCTGATAGGGGCGCATTACTTAAAGTTCATGACTTGCGAAATTAAAAATGAATAAGCACGCTAAAGTATGTCTCTTCAAGTAGGCGAAAATATAGACAATCACCAGAAACTAAGTTTATTGAAGAGACGAGCCTTCAACTAGAACACCTACCCGGACGGAGATGACTACACTTTGTATGAAGAACTGACGGAACAAAAGAGGAGAATAAGGCCAGTTCCAGCTTCTAGGCCATAATCACGTCATGCTTGGCGGGCATGATCAATCGGGGAATACTACGAGGGAATATTCGCACAAGGGATTTCATCATCCATGACAATAAGGTGAAAAATAAGGTTATTATCCATGAAAGAGTGAACGTACCCACTGAAAAGGCAACATACGTATGAGTAATGTTGCATCACCTGCTACGTATCTTGACACCTGCCTGACCCGTTGCCTGTCTTGCATGCTGTGGTAATTAGCCGGTTTAATGTGACGTCGGTTCTTGCTTCTACCTTTCTGCGATATCGGGCATGGAAATAATGAGCGAATAAAAATGATTGAGCACGTAAGTTCGCATGTTATTCAGCACCCACCATCCATGCGTTACCCAGCTCCAGGTATCCAGATTTATTTCGTGTATGGTTACATTGATTGCGAAAGAGTGATTTTCCTTGTGTCTTCTCTTATAGGCTAGTCCCACAGGCCTGCTGTTCACCACTGCTCATATCTATATCAACCCCGCGATTGTTTGTCCTAAGACGAGCCACCGGGTTGATATGGTGAACTTTAACTACAGTGAATCAAGAGAATCATGATGAGAGTCGCTTTAGGTCTTGCTTTGTTCTGGACCAGCCATGTTACGGCGCTCGGATACGCAGATAGACAGAAGTCGCCTTTGAAAGATGATGAAAAAGTGGCAGCACTCTTTCCAACCCCTGAAGGTGATCTGATATCACCGGCGTTTCTATTTCCCCATACTGTCCCTGAGGGCTTCGCCAATAATTCGGCCCCTCCGACTGACAGTGTTACTTCAGGTAAGTAGAATATATGATGGCTGCTGTTGTCTGGCATTACATTGACCAAGCTTGCTTTCATAGCGTCATTTCTCAAGTTACTGGCCCAGAGAAACCCTTGGATAAACTACCATGAGCCCGATTTTACATCTGAAGAAGGACGGCTTATCCCCTATGTCTATCTGTCCAAAACTCGCAAGGACTACACGGAGGGTTCATCGGACAACAAACTACGAATATGGATCCAAGGCGGCACGCACGGAGACGAGCCCGCGGGTCCTCAATCGGTCCTCGCATTGCTTGGAAAACTCAACGATGACAAGAAATGGGCTTCATCAGTTCTTGACAAGGCGGATCTCCTGGTGCTTCCGTTGTATAACCCTGACGGTACGCAGTACTTTCAGCGAGAGCTTGTCACCGGATTTGACGGCAACCGGGATCATGCTCTACTCCAAAGGAAGCAGACTCGAGACGTGAAGCAACTGCTCAACAGATTCAATCCTCATATTTCCCACGATGCCCACGAGTACACAGCTTGGAACCGATTTGGCGGGAATTACATCAAGTCTCATGACCTTCAATTTTCTGCCGTGAAGAATCCCAACATCAGGCCGGAGATAAGAAGTCTCGGTGAGCGCCTTTTCACTGATACAGTCTACTCCACCGTGAGAAAGGCCGGATATCGCACGGGTCCCTACTTCACAGGCACTACTTCAGGAAGTGCAATCACCTTGACCGAGCCGGGGTCCTCTAGCTCGGGCGGGCACAACTCGTGGGGACTTGGCCAGCGACTCTCATTTCTCGCGGAGACGCGTGGTATTAGGTTGGGTGACCAGCACTTCAAGAGGAGGGTTACTACGGGACTTTTGGCTGCCGAGACAGTTCTGCGCGTAGCCACGGAGAACAAAGATTTGATCTACAACACAATTGAGGACGCTCGTCGAGAATTTATCAATGGGAACGATGAGATAATCGTGGTGGACAAATCTAGAGTGACAAGGATAGACATCGACCTTATTGATGTCACTACAGGCGAGGTGGTTGATGTGCCGGTAACCTTCAACAACAACACACCCTCAGACGTGGTGCTGACCCGCCGCCGCCCCGAAGCTTACATTTTCTCGGGGGCCTGGTCTGACATTGCTGAGCGGCTTCGAGTGTTGGGGCTCAAGGTTGATGTCCTGGAGAGTGACTTCTACGGCACGGTCGAAACTCTTGTGGCCACCAACGTAACTTTGGCAACCAGCAGGAACCAAGGAATCGTTCAGGCAACTGTCACTACAGAACCAGGCACAAGAATCGTTCGTATTCCAGCCGGCGGCTTCCGAGTGAGCACGCGTCAACAGAATGCTGCCTATGCCTTCATCACCTTGGAGCCCGAGAATGTATCCTCGTTTGTGACAACAAACACCATTTCTTTGGAGGTTGGGGAAGAGTACCCAGTGTTTAGGATAGTATGATTATACGCATATCCTGTATTTAATAACTGGGGATTGCCTAAATCGACTCATAGGCATACGACTCGGAAGGCCTGTGCTCTGTGCTGTTGTATCCCTCAGTTGGATCAGAGCATTCTTTGAGTTGAGATGTGATGCATTTATTAGTATGTTCTTATCTCCAAGGATTTCTACCGCCCCCATTTTGTTGAAAGTGAGGTCGCACGAAGTCTTCCGCACATTAATAGACTGCCCAGTGTCTCCATTGATAGACTAAGCTCAAGTAACATTGATTGTATGTTGTATTTTCACGTGACAACATGTTCATTTCGGCATGGGTGCTTCTGTCAGTTCTTTGCATCAACCAACCAAGGTAGGTCTGGTGTCTATTGCTTCAATCTCCAGAAAGATATGACATGAGATCCAGTCGGTTGGAGAGTGTACGAAGAATAGTTCAAGGACATGGCCGCGAGAGAAATGCCATCTGTTGTCATCATACCCTCGCTATTCTCCGATACGGTATTTTCAAAGTAGTAGCTAAGATGAATGTGCTAGAGCAAACGAATCGGAATTGTGATAGTCAAGCCTTATGTTTAGTCTTGAAACATGGTATCACCGTAAATGGTGGGCCCTAGTTCTTCTGTTTAATATGACTGCGCTAGCACCATTAATAAGAAATGGGTCACACTATGCTTCTGCCTGGCCTTCTTGTTGGGACCTTTGCTGTTGGGGCCCCAACAAACCCCTGAGTCTTTGATATTGTCTTCCTTCAATAAGCTATGATCAAACGAATAACGCCGACATCTGCCTACCTGTGACGATCTCTCCAGCCCATTAGTGTCCTTGCCCAGGAAACATCAGCCGAGTAACGAACGTTGATTATGACTGAGAATCACGTATTCGCCGCTGGCGAGCACGTTTTCCGAACTGGCAACCATTCCACGTTACATTACACGGTTCACGGGGCTGGCCCGTTGGTTGTCGTTCTTCCTCCAGCGTGGGGAATTGGATCTCAGTATCTTCATGATGGGCTCGCGTCGTTGTACGGGAGCTACACATTGTTGTTCCTGGAGCTTAGAGGAAATGGAAAGTCCAGCAGGCCTCCGCCATCGCAAATGACAAGTTGGCACTTGCCGAGGATGTTGAGTTTCTGCGTCAGGAACTGAAACTTGCAAGTATACCATGCCTTATGGGTCATTCGGGGGGTGGCACCGCGGCTCTATGGTATGCGATAAGGTTTCCCGAAAAGGTCGAAAGTCTTGTTCTGTTAAATCATCAGCTGGAGGGGTTTGATGATTCTGAGTCAATGAAGGCCATACTACAGCAAAAACAAAAGAATGCCGAACTACGACCAGCTCTCGACGCCTGGACTGCCTCGTGGGACGATGCCTCTGATGAAGAGTTCGCGGCATTCTTTCGAACATTTCTTCCTGTATATTTCTACGATCCAAAAAGTTGTGACAAAGTGCCTTCGCTCAGAAGTCTATCTCGCATACCAGTGTGGAACTACCATCTGTTGCATGGAAAGAATGCATCTCAAAGGAGCCAAGAGGGTGAGTTGAAACTAGTGAAGGCGCGAACGTTGCTCATCTTCGCGGCAGACGATCCAATTTGTACACCGACGCAAGGGATTGCAACTAGGAATCGTATTGCTGGTTCTAAAATGGTGGTGTATGATAAATGCGGGCATTTTCCTTGGATAGAGAAGAAGGAGGAGGTTATCAAAGACCTTCAAGAATTTTTCCCACTCATTCTTCGCACTAGAAGTACAGTGTTCAACGAAAACACCGGTCTTGGATTCAGTACATCCTTCACTGGTCATTGCTCCAGTGTTCCAAAGCTCTATTTTCCTTCTTAATTTAGTGATGAGATATTGCTGCTACTTCGCTAGTAGAGGGAATGACAGTCTCCCATTATGCGACCATCTTGCGTATATCATGCTAATTCTAAGCTATTTATCGTCACTAGAGATCCTTGAGAGTAGAAAGGCACTTGCTGTGTGTGAGCCAAGCCCTGTTTTATCCGTCAGTTACGCTTGGTCGCGGCTCAAGAGGGTAAGGCGGCTTCCATCTCCCCCCAGTAGGGCGCCAGGCTTTCCACGGTCGACAGCCGTTACGGCCTGGGCAGGCAGAATTTTGTGAGAAGCAAGATCACTATCCCTGAACTACCCAGACCGTACAAGTGGAGGTCAGCATCAAGGTTCTTCCTGCAACCACCTGTAGTAACAACGCAAGGTTGAGTGATAATAACCGTCAAATACATCTGGGAATGACTTAAAGCTTGCAGTTGTATCCAATAACACATCCTAAGAAAAGCTCATCACAATCTCTTTCACTGTTTTCCAAGCTTTTTACCAGTCAATATAGTATAGATAATGCCCCGTAGTCTGCCCCAAGCATATGTGGTTTCAATAGACAGGGATCTATCGTTACATCAGGCACAATATGAGGCAAGTGTCCCAAGTGTCGCGTGCCAAGTCCTGCTCTTTCGTAGACATCTTAAAGGCCGCAAGGTGGTACGGTTCTCCCAACAGATATTGCATTGATTCCAATCTCACAAACCCCTAATATCGGCGACAATAGTCACAAACGATCACCCGAGCTGCAAGCAATACCATGTCTACGGCCAGCTCTGTTACGCGCATGCCTGATCCTGGCCGACCGTCTACCCAACTTCGACCTGCTGCTCTCTACTACCCGGATACTACCGCGGTATTCTATGCCTCTGTGTTCAAATACAACAACAACGAATTTACTCAGACCTTGGTTGTCAACTGCGCCACTTCCTGTGGCTCTGATGGCATCCCCGAGCAAACCATCACGGTAAAAGTTGACAACACATTGTCATTCGCTGGCAATCATGTTTTGTCAGGCAGCCGCACCGCCTGGGGGTTTGGAGCGACAGGTGGTCAGAAAAGCTCGTTCAGGTACGCTGCCATCACAGTAAAGGATGGTGAAAAGTTCAATCTTCCGGCGAGTTCACTAGAGGTCCCAGCCTGCTTCGTAGCGTCACGCCTTCAAGTAGTCACAGTGACCACTGGCCTCGACCGAATCTACGGCTGGGGTACCTACAATGATAACTCCGACGTTATGACAACTTGGAAGGAACGTGTGATGTCTAGTCTCAGCTGCACACCAACTCCAGAGCACAGCACAACACAACACAAACTGGGGGCACATCTGCATCTGGAGTTGCCGAGACGGGCTCAAAGACAACAGCAGCTGGGGCAGCCACGGCAACGAATTCTGAGGGTTCTAGTGGTCTAATTCGGGCACCAAAAAGCCTGTGGATGCTTTTCTTGACCTCATTCATTTGGCTCATTGTTTGAATGGAAACTTTACCAGAATTCCAGCTACCCCATATCTATATCCCTCATACTTCTGAAAGTATGTCATTCTAATGATAAAAGGAGAGAAGAGGCTCACTAAACTTTAAGAATCGAAGTATAAATGAATGGAATTTTTTCCGCTTGATTTTTTTAATTCCCTTATGCTCCATTCTGTAAAAGGCATCTTTCTCTAAAGTCCAAAGTGGACATAGGGTACCCAGTGCAGTGGTCTCCTAGACATATTCTCATCGTCTGAGGAGTCTGGAATAGCATCTCGAGGCGACGGCCCCCTAGTTTCGCTCGTATGGCCTAATATTAGGTACTCTCCCTTCCGTTCATCTGGTGAAATTGGATCTCTCTCTCTGGATTGGATCCGTGTGTGTTTGTTGGCTCGTTCACTAAGCCACTGATCTCGAAGGTCTCTGCAGGCTTCATGAAGGCCTAAGCTGACTGATTCATCGGTCATGCTATTATCTCTCATCATTTCATAAGTCTTTCGAGAGACATGGGCGCATTGTTCATCATTGACCTCCCATAGAGTACCGATTACATGGCGGAAGCCAGCTAACTGGTAAGCACTGATGAGGTGAAGGTTCTCATCGATAAACTCATCGTCTCCGCTTCACCCAGTCCCACATGCTGAAAGGTAGCCGAGGAAAGGGGGGTCACTACAGAGGTTCATTTCCAACAAGCTACCCACTGTCAGACGATCGGTCTTCCAGTCTTGCAGAAGAAGGTAGCTCTGTAATGGATCTTTCGAATCAGTGTAGCCATGTCCAGCGAAATGAAATATTTTGCAATCTGGAAGAAGCAATTCGACGTCGTTTTTGCAATTTGCCTGATTCAAGACGTCCAGAGACATGTCTTTGAATATTTTTTCCCAGGGTATTGATCTCCTGTTTCGCAAATTTCAGATCACTATTTTCTGGAGTGTGTTCCATACCAATTAACAGCGCCTTTGAAGAAGCCCTCGGGGGTGTGAAGTCCTGCTCTCGTGTGTAGATCATAGATCGGATTGATGTGCTGTAAGATGAAACCACTCTATCTAACACTGTATCCATAGATCCTTGGTAGTGAATACCTGAGGCATGAAGGGGTAGTTTGGTTAAGATGCCAGTAGGAATCCACCATACATGGGGCCAATCTCTCTGAACTGGAGAATGTGTGATCCCCAAAGCATCTAGAATTGGGCCAGTTACAGTGTGCCACAGCCACTTCAGTGTCGAAAGACTATCTATTTGATCTCGCCTGCTTCTTCGCTTTGCCTCTTCTGGAATTAGGTCTGGCAAGGGTATAGTCTTGACGTCATTCTCCTGAATCAGGATTGCATCGCATCGGTAGTCGCTGGCATTTATAACCACAATCGGACCATTATTGGCAGCGGCACTTATCTCCGTCCAGTCGGGAGCTTTCATGAAATTCTCCAAGCCAGGCATGGCTCGGATATCAGCTACCAGTTCATCCAGCTTCTTCACCGTCCCATATCGATGATTCGTCTGAACCTGGGCAACTGAATCATGGTTACTTTCTGAAGCAAATGCTCCTTGTGTTAAGCAGCTTTCTAAATCAGAGCGAAAACGGACGAAAACCTCGGCCTTTTCAGGGTATTTAAGCCTTAAGTCTTTGAGACCCGTGGAGCTGGACACCTCCATGAAGTCCTCAAATCCAGGCATTGTTTGGATATCTGCTATGAGTTTGCCCAGGTCCCAAATAAGTCTGTGGCGTCCGAAAATATGATCAGGCCTTGAAATTGATCGATTGTTGAATTCCGAGACTAGTTCTCCTTGTGAATTTTGTAGTTCATCGTAGAGGCGCATGAACTCTTCTTCTTTCTCGGGATGCTTGCGCTTCAAATCTTCAAGTCCTGTCAACTCAACAGTTTTGCCGAAGTTTTCAAAACCATCAATTGATTGGATTTCATTTTGCAATTTTCCCAGCCTTCTTATAATCTCAAAGTGACGATGGGACTCGGTTTGGATGACCTGAGTTTGTACAAATGACTCATTACTGCTTTCCAAGATCGACATTACCTCCATCATAGGATCCTCTAGCTCGGAACGGGCATGGATGAAGTCCTCAGCTTTTTGAGGATGCTTTACTCTCAGATCTTTGAGGTTCGTTCTGATATCTTGGATTGACTCTGAGAGGACACAGCGTCCTTGTTCAAGAAGGAGCAATGCGGCCAGACCATCTCTGCCGGTTTTAAGCCCAAGTGCGGCTGCGTCACATCCCAGTCCAGCAGCCTGGCAGAGAACGTACTGCTTATCGAAGTTTTCTAAGGAACGATGAGACAGTAAGGGAATTAGGCTCACCGCGAGCTGCGCGGCCATGAAAGCTTGTTCCCAGTTTTCCATCGTAGCATGACATCTCAGTAGCTTCGTACCCGCCTCGACGCGATATTGCGTAAGCCCGTTGACTTGGTCAAGAGCCGCGTCATAACATTCTATTGCCTCTTTCATGTCTTGAATATTGTTGGAGATCGCATACAGCTTCTCTAGTCGCATACCAAGATGCGATTTATATCCGGCCAGGTCAGGGTTGTTATCAGGATATGTCTGAGAAATCGCGGTCCTGCCCCAAAGAATGGCTTCTTCCAGGTCCCACAGAGCTTCAGACTCTGTATATTTAATATCAAGAGCCATTGAAAGATTATGGTAGAACAGGGCAATATCCGGATGATGATCTATAGTCCCTAACACTGCTTGCTTCCCGCATGATATTGCTTCTTCAAGGTCATGGTGGCTGCTGGACCACAAGAATCGCTTTTGGTATCGCAACCCAAGATTATTCAGATACCTCCGATATTCATCTTGGTATGCAACGTTGTCTTTTGTTTCTTGCGCTACCAGCCCCCCAATTTTGATAGCCTGATCTAGATCAGCGATGTCACCCTCTCTTGTATATCGATGCTCCAGATAGGTGCCGATAGCATTCCATCGTTCATGTTTCTTCAAGCTATCACTTGGAGTTGCTTGTAATGATTTGATACCAAAGTTAATGGCTCCTTCAAAATCCGTTTTCGCTCTTAGCTTCAGATATCGACGGAAGAAGTTATTGCTAAGGTTAAAAGAGCCGACAGCAAAGGTTGAGTGGTCTTTCGGGACGGTTTGCATGATCTGTTCCCCAATATTGATAGCTTGATCAAGGTGCTGAAGATCTCCGGTTTTCGTGTATCCAACACTTAGCTTAACAGCTAAATTGTTCAGGGCTCCGGCCTCATTAATAGATTCCTGCTTGCGTGCCTGCTTGACTAATTCCACCGCCTCTAACACGTGCTCTTCTGGAACTTGACTTTGCATCTTTTCATTAAGCGATCTGATAGTGCCCAGCAGTATTTTGGTAAAATTGGGTTGAATTTGAAGGTTTCCCGCACCAAGGGTCTCCCGAATTGAATAGCTTCGTCGAGATCCTCTATCTGTTCTAGCTTCGAGTATCGGGCTTCAAGGTAAGTACCGAGCTTATCCTGGTAATGTTCCAGAACACTGTTGTTGTAGTGGATATCGTGGAGGGCAGTCTTTAAATTCCGGATTGCTTCGTCGATATCATCTATTGTGCCCTGGTGCAAGAAGCGTTCGTAGAGTTGGATTGCAAGATTCCCCTGCGATCTGCTCTTATCCTCTGCATATCTGTTTGCAGAATGGCCTGCCTTCCAAGTTGAACAGCCTCATCAATGATTAACAAAGAGTGACTTGAGGCATACTGATGACCAAGACAACGACTGAGATTACTCATAAACGACGCCAATTTGGGGTGGTCTGTCGGCGCCAGTTGCAGCACTTCTCGCCCAAGCTGTACTGCTTCTTCCAAGTCGGCCTCATCTCTCAGCTGAAGAAATCGCTGTTCAAGGAAGGTAGAAAGTGAGTCCAGATATGTGGGTAGGTCTGGGTCGTCCTCTAATCCTGCTCGAGATTGACCAGGATCAATTATCCATTCATCAATTACCTCCGTCATTCTTTCTCTGTTCGTTTCTCTTTTTGGCCTATTTGGGAAAGGAATCGTTGTGTAGGCGTTTTTGAGACTTCTGAGTAAAGAGTGGGAGCGAGAATCAAAGAAATGGCTGATGTAAAAGGGAAAACATAAATGAATTAATTCTCTACACTTCTCCGTTTTCACTGCCCCGCACCTGATAGCAGGATCGAATGTGTTGGTCCAATTATCTTAGGAGCCTGTAAGCCTGAGCCTTTCAATCTACAAATGAGAAGTCCCATTCACTCGCTTACTTGCCTTCAAACAGCTACGGCATTCTGTCAAATAACTAGCAAAGCAATGGACTTAACAAAGATGGAGAGTTTGTGATAATCCATCAGACAAAAAAGCAAGGCGATAATTTAGCAACGTACGTACTACAGTTCCCCCCATGGAGAAGAAGGGTACATTAAATCATATCAATGGCCCGAGAGCAACATGGATGTCGACTAGCCACAGCAATGAAAACCATCCTTCAGGGCGCCTGGTTGAAATCGTAGCTGTTTCCAAACCCCCGACCCAAATACGTCCTCAAAATCTCCTCGGTAGGCTTCCAATGCACAGGCACTTGCAATCCCAGCTTGCCATCTCGCTCCAACTGCTCAACAATGGGCCTAACATCCTCGGCTAACTCTAGCCTCATGGGGTTTCTATACCACGGGGCAAAGTGAATCATAGCTAGCATAACCCTGGTGTCAGGGGTGTGGTTGGGCATTCCTGCGTGCCACAATCTCAGGTCGCGGATGACGACGCTCCCCTTGTTGATTGTTGGCTGCACAGGTGGTGAGATCTTCTCTCTCTCCCTTAGAAGGTGCTCTTGGATCCGGCCGCTGGCACGGTCTCCGTGTGCGCCCTCTTGGGCTTCGATGCCGTAAGGTGTGTGTGTTCCCAGCCAGAGCTCGGTGGAGCCGTTCTCGGGTTTCGTGGTGACTAAAGGAACATTGACCACCAAGGCAAACGGGTTTGGTGGATGGGCGAAATCTGCGTCCGAGTGTACAGGCTGTCGCTGAGGTTCGATCTCGGGAGTTTTGCCTACGGCTGAGTTGGCTGAGCAAAAGGTCCACTTGGGTCGTGGCCCTAGGACGGCTGTGGTGACTTGAGTGGCCAAGGGATCTATTCTTGCATGAGTGTTTTCTCTTATAAAATCTGTCTTGATGAAACTTACTGGTGAAAACCTCTGGGAAGAAGTACTTAGCGACCGGAGGGGCATCTTGCTGCAAGTTGCCCTTGTTGTAATTGAATGGGCTCTTATCACCAAGCGACTGAAGAGTTCTGGTATCGTCGACCATTTTTTTGTTCAGGGCATCAAGTTTCTCACGTTGAACGGCATTTTCAATGACGACAAGTCCATCTTCATATAGAGCCCGGACGGCAGTCTCTAGGTTTCTCTCATCAAGACGCTGGTTGCGGATCTCAGACAAGGATGGCTTAACAACGGTAGGCATACAGAGAGTGCCAACCGTTGCAAAGGTTCGTCGGCCCTTAAGTAGGGAGGAAAGTGCTCGAAATCGAATGCAGAGCATCGTGGTTATGTAAAGCGTTTGTGCCTTGCTCACGAACGGGAGATAGAAATTCGACGAGATTTTTTAATTACCTCAGGGTATGCCCGATCTCATTATGGTATATATAGACATCCAAGGCCCTCCAATCTTACTGTTGAGAAAACTTTCCATCCAAGGCAAGCGAGGTGTGATGATTCCCGAGCCCGGAAAACCCTTCCGCATAACGCTTAGCCCGTTGGCTCACCCGGGGAAGACTTCCAAGCCGATTCCAAATCACCCACAAGCCGTTCCACAGGCCAGCCAATCGTCTTCTTGCATGCAAGCAACTGGCGTTTTAGCTCCTGGCGGGCTGGTTCGTCATTGATGAATCGAGCACCTGTATAGTTCGACACAGCGTCAGCCTACGCAATCAGGGATGCCCTCCCATGGTCAGCAGACCACACTCACAGTAGGCCATCGGCCCGAAGGCATTGACGAGGACGGTGGGGATCTTGGACGAAAAAGCAATGCCGCAGATGTCGAGTGCGATGTTATGCAGGAATTGCTGCTTGGTTTGCGGGGCGTTGTCTCTGGGGAAGGCATCGATGGCTTTCAGACTGTCCAGTCGCTGGGCATCGGGCAGATGGAGCGCGAGGATGGTCAGCGTGACAAGGTAGTAATGCATCGTTGAGCCTTGATTGGAGTATCCCGAGTAAGCCAGCGTTTTCCGAGCATGTCTGATTGGAAATATTACCGTGTGATTCGTGGAGAAAGTAGAGGCATGGCAGTGGGTTCGGTGTGCCCACAATCGCGGGCCGCCGAGAGAAGGGACCCAATCGGTCCGGCCGCGCTTTGATCCATTTATGGGTCATGGAGAAGGCGGTTTCCCATTCTTCTTCTGTGAGCGGGCGCTGGAAGGCGATGTTGATGATCTTGCCGAGTATCAAGGAGATGGAGTTCAGGTAGTCTGGGTCTGTTTCGTGTGACGTGATAAGTGCCAATGGATCCAGGTCCATTTTGAGGGGACACTGCTCGAAAAGACTGAATGTGATGTCCTCGCGCAGGTAATTCCAGAACCCAGCAGTGAGAAGGCTTTTAGTCCGTAAATCGAGGGCATTTTGGTGAGACACCATTGAGTAAGCACCCCGAAGATGCACGTTGGGATCCGTATCGCCTGAGGGATACCACATGTCAATTAAAACGTGAGTTCATCTCATAGTATAATTTACGGATCAGGCAATTATGTTACCGTCAAGAATTTCATAAGACCGCAATAGACAAATGGCCGCAAGGGCTTTGCCTGTGAAGACGTGTTCATCCTCGCGGTTAAGGGCGATGAGCAATCGGACACACCGATGATGATACGACTCGGCTATTTTCCGTAGCTTTTTGCCACTGACTCTGCACATGTGCATAGCAGAGAGTGCAATAGCGGCTGAGAAAAGCAAGGGTTCATCGAGGGCGAGTGCAGGGACTGCAATGCCAAACGTCAAGGCAGAGTCACTGAGATCATACCACGGTGCCAGGAACCGGATGTAATGCTCAAATAGCTGGGCGATTTCGAGATTTTTCAATGCATCTCTTGCAGTCAACGGCGCGAAGTCATGACGCACTGTTGACTCTGCTTTTAGCTGGATGATCACCATGGGGATGGAGAAGAAGCCGTGAGCTGCTTACCAAACTGGGCAGGCCTTTGCGATCTGTCACAGTATCGGCCAGACTTGTCGCACTGGCGACACACGGGAAGTTCTTGCGAACCTGGTCCGAAGCAGTCAGCATGCCTATCAACTCAGTATGAGGGAGGGCGGTACATTTCAATTTGCGTTGGCGGCACGTGTTGCTAATGATGGAAATTGGGCATGAGCTTGGCACCCCATATCATTTGGAACGAAGCAAACCGAGCCTACCAAGAATCCTTCTTCAGTGGGCGTGGCATCGTCTTTCAGCCGCCCAGAGTCAAACTGGCGACAATTCAACTCCACAGTGAGTGGCTCAACAAAGATTTTCGTGTTAAGTCTTTGGCGATCTGCGTCTTCAGCCCAGGCCAATAACAAGACAGGGGCATCATAGTGGTGTGCATTATGTAAGATTATTCAACTTTAATGGTTGGGGTAATTAGAGGATTGATTATTGCTACCCTACAACCATCGAAACTGATATAAACTTGACCTCTCTGCCATCTCTTGAGAAAGAGTGATCGTTATAAGATGAGGCTTCCTGTCTACTACTATGGCCGTTAATATGTGTGAATCTAACCTCTTATTCTTTCTTCCATCGGGCATGTGCTTTCAGGGCCTGCAGAACAATGAATTAACAGGTCCCATGCTTAGTTCATTAGAAAATTCTCAATGTCGGAATTCAACGCAAAGTTCGATCAATCCAAGAGTGATCACCGGCTAACAATGTATTCCTTGCTGATGGCCACATGAGCGGTAGGTTGTCTTGGTTGTGAACGCGTAGTACTTTGAGATCTTGGTGCATATGCGGAGCCTAACGCTCACACAACTAGGTATAATAGATACTCACAGTGAGTGTAAACCGTGGGAATCACTCATCTATTTTCCCTCACCTTTGAGTTCCGTGGTGAATTGCCTAGAAATTCGTTTCGGGGGTTTAGAAGACATGAAACCCATCATTCATGAGCTGTGAGGGATTGCTGACAAGGGCACGGCACCTTAACCCAGATTAACCTAGGGCTGCTGATAGGAGTAATGGAATAACTGAATAATATACTGCGCAGCTGAATGTGGGCCAATTGATCGCAGCAATTGTTACTGCCTCAACAACGGTGGCTGAAGCCATGCGACCAGGTGTTGTGCTGGTTCCGATGTTCCGATGGTTCCGGCCGTTCCGATGAGTTCATGAGTCAACCCTAATTTATCTGCAAATCCTCACTCTCCATTGGTTGCACTAGCTCATTGATAAGGAGGGATCGATTAGTTTCAAAACTGTTACCAAGAATTTTGACAAGGTGTGCCACTTTGACAACCAAAGGGCGTGATTGACCGGCATCGTTATACACATCACCATCATATAAGGATGTCAATAATCCACCTTCGAAAGATACATCATCGGCACGGCTGAACTTGGAATACTATAGCTCAAATCATACTCTTGCACAATGTCTCAACAACAAAAGCCCGGCATGACAGCCGATGAATTCCGGAAGGCTGCTCACGCCGCCATCGAAGAAAGTAAGCAACAGAAACAGAACTCACCTCCACTGTCACTGATAACAGGAGATAGTCATATCCTACAACGAAAACATTGCGCAATATCGCGTGCTACCCGTAGTGAAGCCAGGCTATCTTGCTCCGCAGCTACCAGATTCAGCACCTGAAACCCCGGAATCATGGGAAAATATTCAACCAGACATTGCCGAAAAGATCATTCCCGGTTTAACCCATTGGCAGTCTCCCAACTTCATGGCATATTTCCCTGGATGCTCCACCTACCCGTCTCTACTTGGGGAGATGTATTCTGCTGCCTTCAGTGCCCCAGCTTTCAATTGGCTCTGTAGCCCCGTTTGCACCGAGCTCGAAACCGTGGTCCTAGATTGGGTTGCAAAAGGCCTGTCTCTCCCTTCATCGTACTACTCAGATTCGCCATCGGGAGGAGGTGGTGTTATCCAGGGATCGGCTTCTGAGGCCGTCGTCACTTGTATGGTCGCTGCCCGGGAACGATATCTGCATGCAAAGTGCGATGCTGAAGGCCTCGAGAATCCTTCCCCGGAACGTGACGCCCGAATTGCCGTTTTGCGTCCAAAGCTTGTAGCTTTGTCCTCGGACCAGGCACACTCTTCAACCATGAAGGGGGCGAATATTGCAGGCACCTTACACGTTTCGATTGTCACATCACGAGAGAATGCCCTTGCTGTTACTGGCAACGACTTGACTCACGCTTTAGAGAAGGTCCGCGCTGAGGGTTTGGAGCCTTACTACATCACCCTAACGATCGGAACAACTTCCACCTGCGCGATTGACGATTTTGAGTCTCTCAAGCCCGTCTTCGACCGGCCCGAAAATGCCCAGATCTGGAAACATATCGACGCCGCGTACGCTGGTACTGCCCTATTCTTACCAGAGTACGCCAAGTCTTTGGCCCCGTTCACCGCCATGGTAGACTCCTTCAACACGAACTTCCACAAATGGCTTCTCGTCAACTTTGATGCCTCCTGTCTTTTCGTGCAAAATCGCAATCACCTGACACGAGCTCTATCGATCTCTGCGCCATACTACCAAAACAAACACTCTGACTCAGGTCTCGTCACCGATTATCGCGATTGGCAAATCCCGCTTGGCAGACGATTCCGAGCACTCAAGATCTGGTTCGTGATGCGCTCCTACGGGCTCTCAGGAATACGCGAGCATCTCACACACACATGTAAGCTGGGAGACTTGTTTGCGGACCTGGTACGCTCTAGGCCTGACTTGTTCGAAATCGTTGCTCAGCCGCGGTTTGCGCTTACATGTTTCCGGGTTAAGCCCAGCGCCCTGCCTACATCTACAACTTCCGCTCTTACTAACGGGGATGCGTCTGAGGCTGAGGCAAATTCTATAACACGTCAGATAACAGACCGTATTAATGCTGAAGGCACCATTCATATCATCGGTAGCAGCGCGGCGGGCCAGACGTTCATGAGAGTTGTCAGTGCTAACTCGAATGCCGAAGAGAAATACGTTAGAGGTGCATTTGAGATCATTGTGAAACTTACAGAGGAGGCATTAAAGGAGAGAGGAGAACAGTAACTGGTAGACCTCAAAATAGAAGTAGAGATTCACATAGGAAGAAGTCATAGAAAATACTAGACAATTTGAACCAGATATTAATAGTGAACGTGATTCCCCTTATTGGAAATAATGAAACTTCCTTGGTTCCAAAACTTGACATCCTCTTCATGGCGGGTGACATGTCTTACCGAAACCTGTATGAAAACTAGACATTCTAGCCCATCATCTCTGTTATTGGTAGCTTAGTGAGAGCTGAGACTGGTTGAGAGGGACCAAACACCAAAATTCTCAACCTCTCGTTGTCATAGCGTCTTGGGGAGAGTTTGGAATACACCTGTATCCTATGTAACGGCATAGATTCAACCTTAAAGGCGTGATCACATGCTCACGGCGAACGCAATTCCTCAGGTGTTCTGCTTGCCGAGCCGAAGTTTCTATATTTAGCCGCTCTTGGCAAATGCATTTCTCTTTCCTGCTAGCGTTGGTACTAGATACCAAATGCAATAAATACGTGGTATGACTCGACTACCTTAATGGCATTGTTCAAGTGGAAACTCGGATATTGACGCGCTATTATATGACGTAGAAGGTGGCAATGGTGTTCCTGGTCAGACTTGATGCCACCTAAGACGCAGAAGAGCCTAAACTCGCGTATGATCGAGATGAGGCAACCTGGTATTTATTATCAATCATGATCTTAGTATGCACACTAAGATGCGCGTTTTTTTATCAATCTAATCAAATATGGACACAGCCCTCGATCAGCTCCCCCACTTGATCCCCAAAAACAGCAGAACTAGGACAGACTATTAAATAGGCCACAGTTCAGGTTTTACTTGATCCCAGATTGTCCCCATCTTCATTGTGTCCCAGTCCCTTCAGCTTTTTCTGAACCCTTCTTTATTGCTGTTACCGCTTATAAAGATGTCCTCCAAGCCGTATCCCGAAGGTGGCACAGTGCTGCAGACTTTCAAGCAGGCCTTCACCGATGTAGCCGTCGACGCAAACAACAGGGTCGATACGACGCAATTTCTAGAGGCCACTGAGAGTTGGACGACACTTTTCGGTATGTCCCCGCATCGAGTCCCACCGGAATGAACAAGAACTAATATACTGGATCCCAAGATGCTATTGCCGCAGTTGCCTTCTCGCCGGTGAAGAAGGACATGCTATTCAATGTCGGGGTTTGTACTACTTCACTTGATCGGCACGATTGAAGAAAAAATCACTCATATGATGATCTTTCAAGAGAATTCGTGAGCAGCAGACCGCTGCTCCGGCCGAATCTACCACCCTTCAGGATCTTGTTGAGAACGAGCTCAAATCAAACAAGCAAAATGCAGCAGATGGTTTACTTTGGCTCATCCGGTAAGTCTATCCTGTCACAGGATCTCAAGCTTACCGGCTTACTCACCATGTTTCCTCATATTTCACTCCCAACAGTGCCATTGATTTCACGTTCCGCGCTCTAAAGCGCACGGTTGACAACCCAAAAGAGGAGCTAGCCGAGTCGTTTAGAATCTCATACAAGGAAACCCTCAAACCGTATCACCCGTTCTGGATCAAGCCTGTGTTCACTGCATCCATGTCTCTTTGTCCTTACCGAGCGGCCTTTATTGCCAATCTAGGGGATGATGCCGAACAGGCCACCTCGGAACTGAAGACACACCTTGAGGCTCTATCTAAGATTATCAATATTCTGAGCCCATTTATTGAGGCCAAGGCTGCAAACAAATGGAAATGAGCTGGGGGCCAAAGACGATGAATAACGATATTCAGTGGTTGTAACTGTGACTCTGAAATTTTATCCTACTTCCTCTTCTCTTTTTCGTCTAGCTCTGCTATCACTCTGGTGTCTCTCTTTTGGACGATTCTACCCTCCTCTTCCTATGGAGTGCAAGTAGCAAATCAGGGGATCCGCACCCATTGCTATTCTTAAATCTTGGGGTAACACTTGTGGCGGTCTTCGGTCTCCTTCCAGCCAACACACTTATAGCAAGACAGAAGGTTCTTGGGGTCAACCTCATTCTTAATCTTGAGAAGACGGTTGTAGTTTTCTTGGCCCCAGTAGCTCTCAATGTGGTTGGGCTCAAAAGTATCACCCTCCCCCATGTACGCGCCTCCGCTAGGGGTGATCTCGCGGATCTTGTCCATGTCCTTGCTCACGTCGCTAAAGATCTTAGTGAGAGCCTCAGACGAGGTCTTTGTCGCGTCAGCCGGATCAAATATTGTCTGGTAAACCAGATGCCAGGGTGAGGTTCGCTGCAACCAGTGTTAGTATGCTACGAGAGAAGGAATTTGTACGTTTAGTGAGAATGAAACTTACCCAGACAGGAGTCAGGGCGGACTGGCCAATATTTCCAGTCTTGTCGGATTCTGCCAGCTCATGCGCAGAAGGGGTAACGAGAAGAGCTCCATAGATGCCCTTCTGCACGAGGATATCGACAAGGGCTTTTTGGGTCTTCTCGTCTTCAAAAGTCTCCTTAGGGACGAGTCTAGATGACTGAGCGATCATGGATCCAATATCCTTGGATCCAAAAGCGATAGACTCGGGTGTCCTCTGGAAGGCAGCCTGGCTGGGAAGACTTTTAATATTCTTGCGATAGGCAATGGCGCCACCGTTCGAAACCGAGTCGAAGTACTCGTAGATCGGCTTGAGCGATTCTTGGGCCTGCTCAACACTGATCTTAGGAGTGATACCGATGAAAAGGACGGTGTTGCCGGCACCAAAGCCTAGGTAACCACCCCAGCCCTCCTCAGCCCATTTATTGGCGTTTTTGACAAAGATTTCGGTGATTGCTTGAGAACCGGTTGGGATGGCCATTCCAAGACTGGCAAACTTGATGCGCAACTCCCATTAGCCTTTGCTTCGTCCAGAGATAGGTCTGTCCACCAATAACTTACCGTGAAAGCAGTGTCCTTGTGAACTTTGGTAGAAACCTCCGTAACGACACCGAATGTGCCGCCGCCACCGCCTCGCAGGGCAAAGTAGATGTCCTGGTTCTGGCACCTGTTTGCAGTCACAAAGGTTCCATTAGGAAGAACTACCTTCATCTGCATGTTATTGTCAACACCCAGACCGTAGGTAGGTGAGTAAGGCCCATGACCTCCTCCCTGGATCCAACCGCCTGCAGCGCCAACAGTTGGGCATGTGCCGCCCACAACCTGGATGAACAGCATTGTTAGTACTCCTCAGCTACTCTTGTTTCATTGGCATTGAGATTAACTGTACCAGATAGCCAGAGTCCCGAACAAAGTCATAGACACCGGCCCACATTTCGCCGGCGCCGTACGTAATTGCAGCTCCAACAGGCTCCTTGCAACCTTCGGGAGTGAATTGTTCATCGACTTTAATCTCGGGACGGAGGTTGTGAGTCCTAGATAAGTTTTAGTTCAGGTCACGTACCAAGGCATATTCCAGCCGCAGGCGATGAGGATATACCAGATTCCAAAGGTGTTTGGGGCGGCACTTCGACCCTTGTAGTCGTGACCGGTATTCTTGATTGTGATGGGAAGATCATGCACGTTAGCAAAATTCAGAGCGGCTTGGATGTCCTCCACGCCGGTGACTTCAACGTAATAGTCGGGCACGCTTCCTTGGTGGCAAATGCCCTGCTTAGGGTTCTCGAGAATGCTAGGGCTCAGGGTGCAGTGCTCGCCAGTAGCCATGCAAGAGCCAAATGAGGCACTGTGATAAGAACCAAAGTCGGCGACCAGAGTGTCAGATTTCGTCAGACCCGACTGGATAGTTGAGCAGCGCGCCAAGTCAGGCGTGTTGGGAAATGTCCCGGTCGAGTTCTGGTATGTCTCAAAGCAAGGCAGACCGTAAGGACGACCTGCGTGCAAACGGCCCGATACCTTCTCATTGAGAGATGCCCACGCAGACTCTGGGACATTTAAAATTGGCGAGCCTTCTCGGCATCGAAGCCCGCTGGGTGAAGCGGCGGCAACACCCAGCAGGAGGGAAAAGGCGAGAATACCCATTACTAAGGCCCCAAGAGCTTGGCTTATTCACCAATACACGGGTAGATAGATACAAGTAAACGGATGTAAAGAGATCGAAACAGAAAAGTAATTGATCTCGTTATAAGAGAGCATTGGAAAGTTGAGATCCACGGGCAGATGGCTTGAATTTATATGCCCAGGGAAACACTAGTCTGAACATGTGCAAACCATTATACCCTCCGAAGGCTATACCGGACGGAAAGTTCCTGGAGTATAATGAGAAGAAATCCTTTCAGCGAGCAGATGGGGCGAATTCGTGCGTTGGCGGGACTTGTTTGACAGCAGCGTAAAACAGAAGTCCTTACAACAGGGATCCAAAGCCATTGCAAGGGATGCCAGTATCCAAACAATTCAAAGCTATCTCTAACCTTGGTGGATTTTTGACTCTCATACAGATATAAACTCCACAATAGCAAGTCGGCCGCCACTGCGTCTTCGCCCCTCTCTTCTTGGTATATTCAACTAACTAATAACCCTTTTACTTCCAGTATACTTCTCGTAAGGGGAACATAAAACCCTGATAGCCGTAAACCTCCTCTGATGATGAGAATTCGTACGTGATTAGTATTTGTCAAAACCGCCAAGATCTCATCCTACCTCCATTATGCGATGCAAAACAAGGCATGAGCTCAAGGAACCTTGTTGGTTCGGGGAGCAACCTATCGGTATTATTCTTTTCAGATCCTATGTAATAGATCATTGGCTATGGTACGGTGGGCTGGCAAGTGAGCGGTGTCACCCCTGTATTGCTTCGCCTGTCTGTGCGGTTGCATATGGCCCTGGTAGATTGCCGGGCATGGCGATCGGGAACCGCCCAATGACGACAAAGTGTAAAATGAATCACCAAGATGAAGATGCAGAGCCCCCACATTCGAGAGATTTACTATTAATAGTTGTCCGTTCCTGATTGCCGCAGCCGTACGTATGAGGATGCAACGAATATCTGGGTACAAGATGGAAGTAGTCATCACGAATAGCCCAAGCTTGGTTGCAGTGCGTCCTCTGTTGTCCCCATATAAGAGAAATCTCCACCAGATGTCCCATCAGTGAAGATCCACTCCGCCATTTTCATGTACGTCCGTTCCAATTTTTTTCCTTTCAATTTTCTCTAGTTAAATCAGCAATCCCGCAGAAAGATCATTCCAACACTGTTCTATGAGACTTGGTGAATTTAGAGAACTACCTGCCTTCGAGTGGGGCAGGTAAACGATCGCTTTGAATACATGTAGTTGAGTAGATGCTGTGGGTAGGCACGTGACCATGCTAAAATCCTCCTCCTAAGAAACATCATTGAAATCTTGACCCTTGTTCACATTTGATGTCGCCATCGCCCAGCCCAAAACCAGAGCCTATATTTTTCGAAGTATGAGTATCATGGGATCAGTTGATTGATTCAAAGGGGAAGCTTTTTATTTTGATTATACCACCGCAGTCATGGATGGTATCGCTCCACGTCGTCAAGCTCTTAACGTAGGAGCTTTGCCCTCGCGCTCTCCCCAACCCATCCGCTACATGTAGATCCTCTTGCTGATATAGCGTTGCGTTAAGGCTTGCGATTCTTGTCGACAACGCAAAACAAAATGTGACGAGCTCAAGCCAAGCTGCGGCCGTTGCGCCAGGTTGGGCCTCGAGTGTGCATATGTGGAAACTGTCGTCTCCAAGTTTGTATCCTTCTTAGCAACGACTCTTGTGGACCTTGGTTCGCTAATTGCTCTTGTCTAGAAAGAACCTATCCGTATCTGAACTAAATGATACACTGAAAAGCATGGACAATAAGCTTGAGGCTCTGACCCATTTGGTGAAGAGCCAAAACCAAAGCCTGCAACAGCATCGTGACCACGCCAACCACGCCTTCTCTAACCCGAGCCCGAGTGTGCATCATACGCTGGGTCCATTTACGCCAATAGCTCCTTTTGATGCAGCCTCGCCTCATTCTTCATCTATTCCTTATCTGGACACAGGAAGAATCCGCGATGAGCTGTCATTAACACAGAAGCATTCCACCGCCCCCCAACACTTACTGACATGGCCTTGCTCCCCAATCAATCTTAGCGAGAAACAGTTACAGTATCCCACTCAGTTGGAGATCCAACGTTCAAAAATACCAGCTATCTCTCATATTTCTTGTGAACGCCCACAGACTCCTCAGGGAAGCTCATGGCTATTACAACTATCTATGTCAGAATTGAGCAGGTTGACCCAAGGATACTTCTTCCATTTCCATCCATCCTGTCTGATATTGGATGAGGGACACTTCTATGGATTTCATCTAAATCATGCAATGCGAACCAGTTTCGCTGAGAGTCTGGACGCTTGCTTAGTGGTATTGGTTTGTGCCCTAGGTGCTGTTGCCTCTCGTTTCTTAGAGGGCATTGAGTGGCCAGGTGAGAACGATGAAAACGCTGGTCTGTCGTTTTTCAACGTTGCTCAAGAAATGCTTCTCCACGTCGAAGGTCCAGATTGGGCCAGTGTTCAGTGTCTTTTACTCTCAGGGCATGTCTCCCGGACCTATCAGGGACGCTCGAATATCCATTGCTAACATATCACAATTAGACTCTTCTTCTCTTCCAAACTTAGGGTCTACGATGCTTGGAGATTTATTCACCGCGCCTGTAGTACGATCTTGATTTTGGTACCACTGTAAGGCCCAATGACTCTCTATCTCAATTCTGTCAAGCTAAATCTTAGCAGGCAAGATCAGCTAGAGGCACATCAAGCCCAGCTTTTCTGGATTGCATATCTTCAGGAGAGGTGAGAAAGAAAATCATATTTAAGATATCTCTTAAACTAAAGGCGTCTCAAGTCAACTGCTTGCAGAATTTGATTTTCCACCCAGCGGTCTCGGAAAACTTGCAGGTTCTGTCGCTTTGCCGTTGGTTCCTGATGCAGGAACAGATCCCCACCACGCCAAGTACCAGTTCTTCTTTCTTGCCCTTATTTCAATGAGAAAGCTTCTAAATCGAGTACTTTATCATGTTTACAAGCAAGGTATCATTCGTACGGTTTCGTTGAGAAATCAGCAACCGATACTAATATCAGTTGACAGATAAGCGATACGATGAAGCTCCTCGTCCCGCCAGCTCTCCTAATGAGGAACGATTTAACGCAGTTTTCTCTGCTAATGAACGAATAATTGAAGAGTTAGATAGACAGCTAGAGGAGTGGAGAAACTGCCTTCCTGCTGGTCTTAACTTTTCTTCATATTCACCTTCCCAAGAGCCCCCTCCGCTAACGGAGCCTCACGAGCCGAGATCAATTGACGACAGACTCCGTGGCCACCTCTTGGCCCGGTATTATGTTGCCAAATCTATCCTACATCGCCCTTTTCTTTATAGGGTACTCCATTTTGAGCACAACGCTAGCTTGATTACAGATAACGACCGTCTTGGTGCGACCGTGGCTATTCACTCGGCATTTTTATCAACTGTACACAGTGGGTTATTCCACGAGCCACTACCATTACTTCTACATCCAATCAACTCTTGGAGGAGGTAAGATGTCCTGGGTTCTGATCAACAGTGGGCATAATTCGCTGACTTGTGAGACAGCATGTTTGCACTTGAGCTACAAGTCGCCTTCTGCAGGCATCAAGACCCTCATCATTTTGCGTTGCCGAAGAATTATGAGAGTATTCGCCAAATTCGTCAACAATTGTCATCTAGTTCAGCTCATTCTTGTCCTACTTTGAATAGGGACGAGGAAATTCTTCGTCTCCTCGAGTAGCCTAGGTAGGAGGTTGATGGAAGTCCGGGTATTGTACAAAGCAGGTAGACTCCTATGGAAAGCAAGTTGATCCCAATTTCTAAATCATATTCATTCTATGGTAACTTCGTCTCAAATATCAGTCTAAATAAACCTTCGCACTCAATGAACCCAAGCTCCCCCCTTAGCAGATGACCGGAAGGTCGATGATACGCCCCTGTCCCTCGAACTCTTAGCCGCAGTGACACAAAACTCTGCGTCAGCATCAATCACCCATTTGTTGACGCTATCATCCCAGTACGAAACGCTGACCTTATCCAAGACTGTAGTAGCGGTGCAAGTCTCTCCGGCCTTCAAGAAGACCTTATCGTACCCCTTGAGCTCCCTCGATGGTCTTCCCAGCCGGGACTCAGTCTGACTGACATAAAACTGAACAACTTCCTTGCCATCACGAGACCCGGTGTTGGTGACATCAACCTTGACCTCGATCTTTCCGTCCAGACCCAGGACCTCCCCTTTGATACGGATATTGGAATACTCGAACGTTGTGTAAGATAACCCAGCGCCAAATGGGAACAGTGGCTCGATCTTACGATGATCGTAGTAGCGGTACCCAGCATAGATACCCTCTCCATAATGCACAACGTCATTCTCGCCTGGGTAGTTATCGTACGGAGGTGTGTCCTCCAGACGTCGCGGGAATGTTATTGGCAGCTTCCCCGAAGGGTTCACCGATCCGAGAAGAACATCTGCAAGGCAATTTCCTTGTTCTTGCCCTTGATACCATGCCTGGATGATTGTGGACACCTGAGACTCCCAGGGCATGGCGATAGGGCTTCCAGTCTGGTTCACAACAATGGTGTTGGGGTTAACCTTGGAAACAGCGGATATCAGCTCATCCGATCGTGCTGGGAGATTCATCGACACCATGTCGCTCGTCTCGGTCTCCCACTCGTGGTCCTTGCCTACTACGACGATAGCAACGTCACTTGCTCCAGCCATGTCAACTGCCTCTTGGAAGAATTTGTCAAGGTCGCCCTGGTTCTCCAAGAAGCCGATGCGGCCACCGTCTTGTACCTCCTCGCGCTCGAGCATAGCCATGTAATCAATATCATAGGGCTTAGGCTCACGGCTGATGGATTCCAAAACGAGTTCGTACTCGCGGCCCGCCTCCATTTGGACCTCAACGCGCTCCTCCGGTGAGCCGTAGCTCATGAACAACGCCGACTTGGGAGACCACCAGTGCCTCTCAATATCAACGATGACTTTGCCATCTAGGATGAGCTTTCCGGGCCCGCAGGACGACAGGGAGAACTGGTGCAGACCGGTTGTTTTGGGTGTCACGATGCAGCGCCCACGGTAGGAGTACCTGGTACCGGTTGTGAGCTCAGGTGGCAAACCATCGTAACAGACCAAGTTGGAGCTGGGTCGGTTCTCTACCATGAAGGGCTCGCCTTCATGCTCCATGTTTCTCCAGAAGGAGAGAAGAAATCCATTGGCCCCTGTTGATGGATTCTTCATGACAGCTGGGTCCAGGAGTGGGAGGTATCTATGGGCAGGGAAGGCGGCGTGAGTCTGCAACTTGGCCGTGGGGAATTTCTGTGATAGCTCGGTCCTCAGCGACTCGTATGGTGTCGTTCGGTAGTGCGGCTCCAGGTTAGAGCTTCCGCCACCCGTAGCTACTGATCTGGCTGCGTTGGGGCCGATGATAGCGATCGTCTTGTTATCCAAACTCTCTAGCGGAAGAATGTTGGCTGAGTTCTTGAGCAGAACAATGCCTGGTTTCCGCGTTAGCGAAGTGAAATGGAAGTTTAAAAAGGGCACAATTACTCACCTTCCGCTCCTGCTTTGCGTAGAATTGCTCTGTGTTCTGGCAAATCGGTTGCCTTCTCTTTACCCTCTTTCCAGTCTGGGATCTTACTTTTCCCAGTTCGCTCCAGCAGCCCAAGGAGACGGCTGACGGAGTCATTGAGGAATGATTCGTCAAAGAGCCCCTTCTTGTAAGCGTCCAGTAGGTGCTGACCTCTCCTTCTGACAGGTCCAGGCATCTCGAGGTCCAGACTGAGTTTATCAGCAATTCTGCCCACAAAAAAATGATATCACGAGACCTACCCTGCCTTGATCGATGGAACGATGCTGTTGGTACCAAACCAATCACTCATTGCCAAGCCATCCCAGCCCCATTCTCCACGCAGAACGTCTTGGAGAAGAAAGTCGCTGGCAGAGCAGAAATCACCATTGACTCTATTATAGGCGGTCATCAAGCTCCAGGGGTTGCTATCTCGAATGGCAATTTGAAATGGCTGGAGATGAATCTCTCGTAGTGCTCGATCGGGGATCTTTTCGTCGATGAAGAACCGGCGAGTTTCTTGGTCGTTTGCGACAAAGTGCTTGATACAGGCGCCTATCCCAGCTGCCTGGATGCTGTTGATATATGTTCCGGCCAGCTTGCCGGTGAGAAAAGGGTCTTCGCTGTAGGCTTCGAAGTTGCGGCCGCCGAGGGGTGTACGAGGGATACAGACTGCCACTCTGTGTAAGCAATGGATTATGGGACATTTTCAGGTTGGATCAATCACCTGTTGGCCCAAGGAGCACGTCAACCTCTTTGCTCTTGGCCTCGTCGATGAGAACCTTGCAAAGGTCGCGTACAACATCGTTGTCCCATGTAGCTGCTATTGAGACACTTCGATGCATTAGCTACTATCTATGCGGCCTTTGTCGAAAATCTTACCCCGTTGGTAATGAGGCAGCCTTCACACCATCTGTGAAAATGCCGCCTCGGACGCCGACTGGTCCATCGGAGGTCTTGAGCCTGGAAATTCCCAGACGAGGGATCGAATGCGTACGCCACAGATCCTCGCCGGCTAGTAGAAGGACCTTCTCTTCCAGAGTCATCTGGGAGAGCTTTTCTTGGGCCCATTGGCTTGCAGTTTTGGTGCCATTGGTAGCACCGCCGTCGCCGTTGGAAAGGTAGACTTTAGTCATCGTCAATGGCAAATTTCACAATCCTTGGGTAAATACCAGGGATTGGTTATGTAAGGCCGAGAGGAAAAAGACAAAATAGGAAAGAAAACTGGTCTGCTCTTAGTCCAGAGATCAGAGGAAAATTGAGCTGCCCTCGTTTCTTTTGAACGATTAATGATTAGCGACTGACAGCACTTCCGGGGTCCCCATAGCTGGTCAATACCCGCCATGATTGCCTGACTTCATCTTCTAGAGGCCGGGGAGAAATGGACTGGGGCCGGTGATGCATTACAAATGGGCCTTGTAATCGTGTGGGGAGTGTTAGTGGTTGATGTCGGAGCCAGTCCGTCTTTCCCCGTCCAA